CGAGCCACTTTCGCATCGTTTGGTAGCCTTCGACCATTCTGGTCCAAGTGACTCCTCATTTTTCCACTACCGTCGACACACGTAGTAGCCGCCGCGAAGAGTGAACATCTGTAGCTGGAAGGAGCCTGCTTCTCGTACCTCGACCGAAACCGAACGGACGGCCTTTCGAAACGGAAACGGGACGAAGTCAAAACGTGGGATCGAATCTTTCCGGGATTCCGAAAGCGAATCGCGCAAGGGATTACAAGTGACACGTCACGTCGATCCGGCAGTGAATCCGCGTACGCTGCGACGGCACTGAACTCCGCAGCGCTTGCAAGCGAGTGAAAAACCTTAGAGGACCGCCTCTGTACTTACACTTCGTGGCCGTATTTAATTCCTCGTAAGCTCGCATTCTGCCTAAACCGAAGCGTTGAGCCATCAGTCAAGAGGAGCAGCAACATACATTATCGCTAACCACTGGTGAGACATTTAGGTTTTCTTACGACACCGTTCATCGAGATTATCCTCGTTATAGCCATGGCTGTTCGGATCAACGTTTCCTCAGTCGCGCACATGCGCGGAACACTCCCCGCAGCACTCCCCGCGCCCGTCGCCGCCTGTCGTTCCACGCCTCCCGCGGCTCAAGGTTCCGCCTGTGTTTCCGCGCTCGGTAGCACCCTCCGGATGCCCGGAGTTGACGCTTGCTCATTCTACTCTACCTTCTCCAGTCGGCTAACCGTTACAGCCTCGCCGGCCGCCGTCAGTTTCGTCGTCGTCTCAAATCTGGATCGCGACATCGCCGGCAGTTCCGGCGCAAGTCCCGCTGGAAATTCTGGTAAAAGCTGGCGGAAGGACGGGGGGCACCGCGCGAACACTCTCCGCGCGCAAGCCGCCATCCTTGCACCGCCGCCACCTGTCGCGGAAGAGCCGGACGCAATGACGGACACGGGCAGAGGCGGGGGAGGCGGCGGATCATTTCGGGCCGGAAACGGCGACGACGGCGGAAACAACGGGGACGGGCGGTCTGGGGGAAGCGGAGGCGGCGGAGGCGGCGGGGGGGATGCTGGCGGAGACGAGAACGGGAGAGGGGGGGATTTCGGCGCGCTCTTAGGATGGCCGCGCGTCGAGGCGGTTTTGCTGCGGAAGGGCGTAACGCTTCCAGAAGATATGCTGCTACACGCACGGGAGCATGGTATATCGGAAGTGATTCTACAGAGGTTCATGGACCTGCAGAACTCGTCTCTGGGCCCCGCTATAAGCAACTGCGCGGCGCTTCGCAACCGGCTGCTGATGGATCCGTCGTTCCTGTTCAAGGTTTTCACGGAGGTGAGTAAATCGATCGAGTCGGGGTCGCGTGGTTAACGGAGTTGCCTGATGGAGTCCGTTTGCGAACTCGCTCTCGTCCTTCGCTGTTCCACTTGAGTTACTACTACATCCTACTGACGCTTTCGCAAATGTTTCGTTTTCCTCAGATCGCCATCGACTGCGCGTGCGCGACGTTCGCAGAAGTGCAGAAGCGAGGCGACGATTTCTGGAAGGAGTTCGACCTCTACCTCTCGGATATGCTCGTCGGAATCATTATGGGCGGCGCCGTCGTGGGCTCGCTCGCGCCAGCCGCGAGATTCGCCACGTCAGCAGCTGGTGGACGGTTCCCGCGCATTTTGCCGCGTGGGGTTTCTGCTGCGCTCTCGGCGCTCCCAAGCAGGTCAGTAAAGTGATTGGCTAAGGTCATTGAAACCCGAATTCATTGGAGCCTTGATCCACTGTGTGCTCTTGCCTTGACTCTAATTTTCCCCTGTTAACGATTTCTGGGCCATTTAGAAAACGGTCTCTTGTCACGTATGGCTGATTCTTACTTTCATTTCCCTCTTATGTCCCGTTGCTCCTATGTCCCCACTCCTGCCCCCCTCGTTTTGATAACAGTGTGTTTGAGGCATCCCTTCCGGGTCATAAGTTTTCGGCTGCCCAACGAACTGTCACTCTCTTCGTCAAGGTGATAAATCTGCTCGCGTATCCCAACCCAAACTTTTCTCGCCCAAAGCTCCTCCATTATCTCCGTCGTGCATCAATTCCCTCGCTGCCCTGTTTGTGAAATAAAACTGATTTCATGTGACAGTGCAGGGACACTTTGCTACATAGCCATCAAGCTTACCACCGAAGTTTCTTCTTTCCCCAACACCTCCAATCGTCCCGAGCTTGCTTTTCGAAAGCTGTCCTCTCCTCATCCACCTCCATCCCCTTCCCTGTTTCCTCCCTCTCTTCACAATGCCAGGGCGTTGAGTATGGAGGGTTTGGCTTCTCATCGGGCCTTCTGGGTCAGGGGATCGCTAATGGCGTGATGAATCTGAAGAGGTACGTGCTGTAGTTTCGCTTTCAAGAGTAGCATTGTCATTGGAGGAGTACCCTTATAGCTCTGTTACAATGTTACAGCATCGGCACTGCTTGCTCGGGAGTGCTGAAAGGCTTGTGTTTCATTCCCGTTCGCTCCCAGCACATCCCACCTGAGCATTCCATACGAATTCACATATTCCAATATCCTCCTCTTTGTTTCTCCCGCTCTGCCAATGATTTCAGAAGCGTGCGTCAGAAGGGAGAGCTTGCTCATACAGAGGACAGCCACATCAAACCACCACCGCTCTTCAAAACTGCCCTCCTTTGGGGAGCTTTCATGGCAATTTCCTCAAACCCTAGGTACCAGGTCGTCACAGGTTTGGAGAGGCTGGTTGATGGCTCGGCGGTGGCTCGGAGCCTGCCATGGCTATCCGGCTCGTTTACGGTGGCAGTGAGGTTTGCTAATAACATTTATGGCAGCAGCCAGTTTGTGGACTGGGCGCGGTTGGCAGGAGTGCAGTGATGCAGGGATGCAAACTCGTCATCAGGTTGCTTGGAACGGCTCTTGTACATGGTATCAGAGGACCAAACACACTTTGTGCTGGAGGGGGAGACTTGGTGATGAGTTGGAAAGAAGCGACCCATAGGGCTGGTATCACTCTAGCATGGATGGATGGATGAGTCTCAACATCAATTCTGTAGGATTGGTGTAAGTTGGCAACTTTTGCTATATATTTCTCTAGTATGCTTTTTGTAACCAATATGGAAGATATTGTTCCGTGATATATTGATATGTCTAACGTAGGTGGTGAATGTAAATGACAGTTCACCCATAGTTTAGACTATGTAAACCCACATTAGCTAAACCATCGTTAGCACAAACTAGCCCATAACGAGTTACATGATGAAGCCTCAACCGTCCTGCTCCAAATCTCAGTACGACGTGGCACTCTGTGAAAGGAGCATTGTGCTTTCCCGAAACATCACTTGTCAGAACCAATTGTGGCTGTCCTTTCGCTGAGAGCAGCAGCTGTGGTTGGCTGCTCCCGTGCTGTGAACCCATTCCGCGCACGTCGTGGATGTCAGGGTAGCAGGCGCTGGAGCGGAATTATGTGCGCAGCGCAAATACATATAACGCAATGCGCGCGCGTCGGGGATCCCCACCAAAGAGAGGGGTTGGCCCCCCAACCAACGCGGTTTGGGGGAAATGAGGGGAATGCGAAGCGAAGCTGATGGTTGGTGCAGATCAGTGTGGCGGAAGTGTGGGAGGATGGAGGTACGGGAGACGACAATTCGGCTTGACGAGGATGGAGGGTTCCAAAATGAGCAATTTCTCGAGATTACTGTTTTCGATTCCCACGAACACATTCTAGATCTTGGGAACCCCTCCCTGTTATGTGCGAAATATGAACTACATTAGACTCTCCGATGTACGGAGAATGGAATAGAGAAGCTAAAAGAAAACGTTCGGGTGGGAAAACTTAGCATCATCACCAGTGGGATGGTGGGTGGTACGGAACGGAAGCCGCCACAACACGCCGAGGAGAATGACGGGCACAGAACCGACAAATGTAAGCATCTCACCTTGAACAACCTCTTCTCTCTCCGCCACGCATATGTACTCTCTTGCATTGAAAGCACCCCCTTCTGCCTCTCTTTTCTCCACCACACCACAAACAACCACCGCCATTCCACAAAATGAGAAAACGCCACTGAACGAGAAAATGGGGAGCGAGGAGAGCAGAGAGGAGCTGCACGCATACACGCACGGACCCAATCACTGGCAGGCTGATAGGTTCTGCTCCTTTGGGCAGGTCCAGCGAAAGTAGGTGGAGAGGGTTGTCTCGTTGCGGAAGCCAGCAGAGCAATGAGCTGGATGCCACGCCAATAGTTGCCGCAACTCGAGGCGTTGTGCAACTGGAGTTCAGTTCATTATGAACGGAGTCTCCTAACCTAACCATAGGTCACTAAACCAATGCGATTTCTGCACATCTGTTAGGTCACTCTCCGCTGTAGTTTCCTTCCTTGGCTCCTCCTTAGTGTTCGCCTGTGCGTAGACAGTGAGCAATTTGCTAACTTTCTCGCGAAACCGTAGACCTAATTTGCTGTGCCGGTACATAAGAGACTAGCCGGAGTCGCGTCGTCTGCGGTCGTGGTCGAGCTGTATTTATGAAGCTACACTTATAGTTCACGTGCGTCTAAAACTGGCTGATAGCAGTTCATCCGCAAAAGCTTCACTTTAAAACCGGTCCCTGAGAATATCGAACTACTAGTTGTCAAGCACTTGACGATCTTGTCGTGCTTCGTTGCAGAACTGTTAGCGGGGTCACTTATTGCCCGCTTTACGATCGGCCTTCCATTTCTGTTCCCTCTTTCATTTCAATAGAAGCGTACCGCGCAATGGCGCTTTCGGCCCTCCTTAGCTTTCCTAGTTCTCACAGTTACGGCTCGTAGCAGGACCGTTTTGAGTCGTCTCACTCTAGTCATCCACGGGTTGGCAAGTGTTTTGAGTCATTCCAGCAGCTTACGTCCTCTCTTTCCCACCGTCTAGTATCCGTTCCGATAATTATTTCAAGAGGCAGCTTCCCACTAACGATAGTATCAGCGCTCTGCCTGATAAATACACTCAATTTATTCAACGTTCTGTTATTAAATAGAACAGATATTTGTTGGGTTGTGGTAACCAGATGGCCACCAGTCGGCAACGTGGTTACGTTCAACCACTGTCGGGCGGAGAGGAGCAAGGCGGGCCCATGTCCCCCTACGCGCAGCCTCGCCGGATGGCCCCCGGCGGAGGGGGAGGAGGAGGGGACGGTCCCCCCGCGCGCAACCCTGGCCGCGGACGCCGCGTAGCCGGCGGCGGCGGCGGCGGCGGAGCCCCTCAGGCGCAATTCACGAGGATTAACTCGATGATCTACCAGCCGTCTCCGCAGCAAGAAGAGCAACCGGCAGAGCCCCGTTATAAGCGCACTATGTCTATGGTCGCCCCCGCGCCGAACAACAAAACGCCCCCGCGCGGAGTTAGAGCAGCAGGCGCGGGGGGGCCGCATGCCGGAGGGCCAGGCATGGGCGCCGGGAGGGGTGGGCGGGGGAAGCTTCCACACTCGTCGTCCGTGGGCGGACCGGAAGGCGGAATGCGCAGGGGGGTGGGCGCGGTCGGCGCGGGGGTGGAAGACCCTTTGGCGGACCAGTTTGGGCGGAGCATGACGGTCGGAACTAAAGCGCCCACTCCGCGCGGACCTGGTGCGGGGAGAGGCGCTGGCGGAGGCGGCGGAGGCGGGCAGTTTGGCGGCGGAGAGCCGGAGATCGGACGGTCGCTAACGGCCACTGACGGTCGGCACCGGTCGCCGTTAAGACAGAACCCGCACGCGACTGGGGGAATGGGTGTTGGGGGGATGATCACCCCGCGGAGGACCCAGGCGCAGCAGATGGTGGCGGGCGGAGGGCGCGGCGGAATGGGCGGAATGGGGGGGATGGGGGCGGGTCCGGGCAGTCCGTACCGCCAACGCGCGGGGAGCGGGTTTTCGCAAGGCGGGTACATGGAGGGAGGCGGAGAGTACAACGACGAAAGCGACGGGATGTACGGCGAAGACGGTTACCACCAGAACATGCAACGGTCGCGATCTACCGGCATGGGGATGATGGGCGCAGGCGGGCGCATGGCGGGCGGGGGGATGGCCATGGGGGGAATGGGCGGCGGAATGCCCCCGCATGCGCCTGGCGGAAGGGGAATGGGCGGAGGGCGCATGAGCATGGGGGAAGAGCACTACTACACTTCGGACGCGTCAGAAGGGGGGCCCGGCGGGGGCGCGTATCCGCGCAGCCGGTCGGTGAATCCGCGCTTGGAGGGCGCGGCGGAAGCGGGGGGGATGGCGGCGCAGGGGAAGGCGGGAAAGGCGGAGGTGGACCCGTCGGAACTCCCCATGCTTCCCCCTCCGGGCAGCCCGCAAGTCGTGCAGGTAAGAGCTCTCGCGCGCTTACTCTTCCCTTGTCATTACCTATAGAAGCTCCCCTTCCTCGTCTCTTTCCTCCCGGCAGCCTGCAAGTCGTCCAGGTAAGAGCTCTGGCTTCTATCCTCTCATACCCTCTCCTTTCCTCTCTCCACTGTCCTTTCCGCTGTTTTATCTTATCCCCCCGACTGTCCTTTCCGCTGTTTTATCTTATTCCCCCGACTGTCCTCTGTCCTCTTTTCGGTAGTTGTCGTTCTGATCCCCTGCTTCTCGTTCTCGCGCTTTATGCCCTTCAATCTCGATCTGACTTTATCAGTTTAGGGTTCGGTACCCCTGGTACCCCTGGTTCGTTGCCCAAAACGCCGCAGGGGAGCGGTTTTGCACGAACGACTAAGAAAAAAATTAGCGGGCAATTCGTTGTCCTTCGGGAATAAAAAAAGCGTGTTAGCAGAACGGATGCATGATAATCGCATCGTACCAACAGCCCAAGGCAACAAACAAAATGTAATGCGGCGAAAAAAGGTTGCTGCGAAACAAATACTTGCGGGAAGCTACAGCAAACTGCTGTTGCGAACGAAGCTGCTTTCGCGAAGCAAGCTGAAGATTCGCAGACGGAAAGAAGAACCCTGGCTGGTTGCAGACCGTTGCGATTTTCGCGAGGTCGGGCCTTTCCACTTCGCGCAACCTCATCAGTCACAGCCTCGTTCCACGCAACGTTTTCCTTCGCCCTCGTTGACAACCCCAAAGCGAACGTTGTTTGCTCGCCCTTGCGCCGCGAGTTGCTCATACAAACAAAATTATTCGACTCTGCCGATTCAGCCCCTCCTCTTCCGCCCCCAACACGCCCACCCATCCACGCTGCTCTTACGTTCTGAAAACCCCAGCGGCCCTTCCTCGGCGCTAAAAGGGCATGCAGAATCTGTTCTGCTGCAAGTGCATGCACGTCTCACTCCCTCTCTCCCTCCCCAATCCCCCACCACTCTCCTCACCCCCCTTCCACCTCTCTCCTTCGCTTCTCCTCTCCTCTTCTCCTCTTCTCCCGCCCTCTTCTCCCCTCTCTCCTCTCCTCCCGTCTTCGCCTCTTCACCTCCCCCCCACCAGTGTCAGCAGTGCTCTCAGTTATTGGAAGTCCCAGCAGCGCTCCCGCTGGCCAAGAAGGGCATTCAGAAGCTGTGCTGCAGCAAGTGCATGCGCGTCTCACTCCCTCTCTCCTCCCTCTCTTCCCCTCTCTCTCCTCCCTCTCTTCCCCTCTCTCTCCTCCCATCTCTCTCTGTACCTCCCCTCCGGTCCGTCCCTGCTCTCTCTCCTCCCCTCCCCTCTCCTCCCCTCTCTCACCCCCCACCAGTGTCAGCGGTGCTCTCAACTATTGGAGGTCCCAGCAGCGCTCCCGCTGGCCAAGAAGGGCATTCAGAAGCTGTGCTGCGGCAAGTGCATGCGCGTCTCACTCCCTCTCTCCTCCCTCTCTTCCCCTCTCTCTCCTCCCGTCTCTCTCTGTACCTCCCCTCCGGTCCGTCCCTGCTCTCTCTCCTCCCCTCCCCTCCCCTCCCCTCTCTCTCACCCCCCACCAGTGCCAGCGCTGCTCTCAGCTATTGGAGGTACCAGCAGCGCTCCCGCCGGCCAAGAAGGGCATTCAGAAGCTCCGCTGCGGGAAGTGCATGCGCGTCTCACGCTTCCGAGTCAACCCAGCAGACCCCCGCACTGCTGCTGCCGCTGCTGCTGCTGCTGCCGGCGGGGTTAGCGGCGGGGAGGGGTTTTCAGATAACCCTGACGTGGCGGATAGCGGGAGTGAGTATCAGCAGAATGATTATATGCAGCAGCAGCAGCAGCAGCAGCAGCAGCAGCCTCCCAGGTCTCCTAGGCTGCTGCAAGGGTTGCCTAGCGGGGGAGGGTTTGGGAGAGGCATGGGGGGAGGGATGGGGGGAGGGGGAGGCGGAGGGGGAGCGCCCCCGCTTTCTCCTCGCATGCAGCGTCCCGGTGGGGGGTTTGGCGGTCAGCAGATGCACAATCCAGGTCAGCACGGGCGCACGCCGTCCAACGCGGATTCGGAGAGCACTGTTGTGATTCGCCAGGAGTCGGCCGGGCGGCACGCGGCCGGCAGTTTCTACCACCACATGCGGCCAGAATCAGAATCGGATCTTAGCTCCCCTGTGAGCGGAGCAGAGGGGTATGGGGGCGGAAGGGGAGGCGGAAGAGGGGGAGGCGGAGGGAGAGGGGGAGGGGTGAGCGGGTCAAGAAGGATGATCTATCAGCGACAGAGCAGCTTTGAATCTGGAGATATGTCTTCCAGTGGAGGCATGCCGAGTCCTTCCCCCCGAGGGCCAAGGGAGGGGGGTGGCATGGGGGGAGGAGGGGGGAGTGGGGGGGAGGAACGGGCGACGTATGCGCGGAGAGTGATTGTGAATGGGGAGCCAATCCGGGATGACTATGTTTCTGTGGTGGAGCAACGAGCAGGGAACATTCACCCAGGCAATTACTGGTGAGTGCAGGAATTCAGAAAATCAATTAGTTTCTTGCATGCTTTTAAATCTTGCATTTTCTCCCCTCCCCCTCCCCCCCTCCCGCCCCTCCCATTCCCCCTCCGCCAACTCCCCTTCCCCCCTTTTCCTCTCCTTTTCGTTCTCCACTTTATCTTATTATGAAGCATAATTGCGTGCCGCTGCATGTCTGTGTTATGTCTTCCTGCCGTTTTGCTTTACATCCTCCAAGGAAAGTGACATAAGTCTGCTTTAATTCTAATTCTCCTGGGTGTGGGAATGATGCTGCTGCAGGTACGACCAGGTCGCAGGGTTCTGGGGCGAGATGGGCGGCCCATGCCTCGGCATCATCCCAGTGAGTGCCAGGAGTGCTGCTCATGCATACCCTATGCATGCTGCTCCCCATGCATACCTTATTCATGCTTCCCATGCATACCCCCATGCATACCCCATGCATACGCCATGCATACGCCATGCATCCTCCCCATACATACCCCATGCGTTCTCCCCATGCATACCCCATGCGTGCATCACGCATGCTATTTATAAAACCCTCCCCGCATGCTACCCATGCATAACCCACGTATGCTACCCATGCATAACCCATGTATGCTACCCATGCATGCCCCATGGACCTCCCATCTCGCCAGAACAATGTTCGAGCCGTTCCTTCTTGCCTCTTCCTCCCAAGTCTCACCCACCTATGTATTTCCATGTCCTGCCAAATCCCCACGCCTTTTTCCACGCAGCTTCCTTGATCCACTTTCTTGTGTGCCCCCTTTCTTGTTGAACCATCTCCTTGACCTCCTACAACCCGATCTTCCTGGAACCTTCCACCTTGCCTTTCCTGAGGGATTATGTTTGGGACATGGGCTCATAACGAGGCAACCGGAATCCCTCGAATTCTGTTTCTCTCCTCATTCCAGTTCTGTTCATTCCCTTCCCTCCACTGCCTGTGTGCGTTCTATTTGAGCAGCCGGGAATTGAGTTTGGGACGCCGATCCCGGTGGACTGTGCGGGAGGTGCGACGCGGGTGTATGTGAACGGGAGGGAGCTGCACAAGAAGGACCTGGACCGGCTCATGAAGAGGGGGCTACCATCGAAGCCCAACATGTCGTACCGAGTGGAGATCAATGGGAGCGTGTATGATGAGGAGACGGGCGACTACCTCCTCAGCCTGGGGAAGCTCGCACCCTCGTGAGTACCTTTTTGTGTGTGTTTGTTTTTCCTTGATTTACACATGGGTGGTTGTAGAATCTTGGGTAGAGATGGGAGAGAGAGTGGGGGCTTTCCAGGAGCATGTGGGGTGGAAAAGGGGCAGTGGGTGGAAAAGGTGCTGAATGGGTGTGTCACAAGATAGTGTGTGATGGATAAGAGCCATCAAAACTTGTGTAATGTATGTCATTTTGGCTCCATGTTATGTGTCGCAGGCTGGAAACAAGGAAGCGGGGTGGCGGCATGAAGGTCCCTGAATCTAACTGACGAGCTAGTTAGTCTCTGAAGGTTCATGACGAAAGTCTCGGTGCCAAAACACTCTGGTTAAGGTCTAAAAATTGTTAATGATTCCGTAGGTCACTATGGTGGCATGGCATAGTGTGACACTGCCCTCTTCTGTCAGCCAATAGGGTCTCAGGTTCATCTCCAGGGCCTGTGTCTCTCTCCTGAAGGCGGTATGGATGGTTTCACGTCTTGTTCTCTAACCCTCTGCATGTTACAAAGTGATTCATAATGTACACAGGAGTGCTAAGCAAAATCTTCGACATTTCTTGCAGACTCTGTCTGAAATGGCGCAGCCTTTGCCAAAGAGATAGCATCTCTTGCAATCTTTTCCCGTTTACAGCGGCATGCCATCTTGACATGACTCGCCATATGCGAAGTCACGTGTTGGCGAAACCAGCCTTGAAGAGCAGGATCGCATGGCCCTTGAGAAAGAAGTAAATGAAATGCTTTTCCTCATGCGTCACGTACGACCCTGCAGTGACAACAATGGAGTTCTTATGGCCGTGTTCCACATCCGCGGTCCGAAGACACATCCGAGAGACTCTCATAATTCCTCACCGAAGTTCTTCCCAACGATGCAGTGCCAGACAGGCGTGTGCTTCTCATCGAACGCCGTCTTTATATGGAGAGCAATGTCTTGTTGAGATGTTTTTGATTCCATTGCCTGGACATGATGCACAGCATGTTAGCCAATAGTGCAGAGCGGTGATCGGAAGCTTAATTTGCAGACATGGCTAACCTCAGACGCTATTGCAATGGCGTCTTTCTGCATCTCCTCAGACATGTCAGCTTTCTTGATTTGTGCTTCTGCAGCCATTGCGAGGACCATATATAAAACGCACGAAATGTCCGGTTGGCTGGAAGAATGGATAAGAGCAGATGGATTTGCTTCGTAAAAGTGAAAGTCGAAGGAAGAAATTTCAGCAACTTCGTGGTCGAAATGAAGTCTAGGCTACTTTGTAGTCTAGATTTTCAAGAACCTAGATTTCAGTGAGGGGACGCTGGAATATGGAAGACCCAGATTTCGCGCCACAGGGAACCCCTGAGATTGGCGAACACTGCCCCAGCAGCAAGTTCGCGAAGATTCGGACAGGAAAATAACCAATTTTCAGGTGGCGTGAAATTCAGTTCGCGAATGCATGGGGTATCCCTCCGGGTTTCGTAACGTTTTCGTGACGCCAGGAAAAGGTTCAGTTCCGACTCTTCGCGGAAGAGGTTTGCCCCAGATTGGTTTTGACGGTCAGATCGTTGTCAGAGCGTACGACAGTAGGTCCTTAGAAGTTGTATTGCCCCTACTAGACACGGCTGGGCTAGCTTCTGCACCTAACGTGAAGGCCTTTGCGCTGCAGTTATAGGACATCCTACATGGCTCGCAAGAGCTTGCGTCAACGAATCAAAAGCGCTCTCAAGAATGTGGAAATTATGGAACTACCACGAGAGATGATGACCAGAAACGGTGAGCTGCGTGCGGATTGACGAAAAATGGAAATGCGCTGGAGATCAGCTCTCAACAGATAATAATTCGCACTATCGTCAGGAGACATCTGCACGTTTTCAGCTGCTCGTTCTCCGCTGCAGGAATGGCTTTCCAGCTGGAGAAAAAGCAGAGCAGAGCTTTGACTCATGATGAGGAAATTTGGGTGAAAGATCTGCTCAAGGTACGACCGTCGCATCTAGCTTCCCCGGTTCTTGTTTGACTTACTGTAGATTTCTCATTTAGGCACAAAGAGTTGCAAAGCCGAGGGAGGTTTTTACGGAATGTGCTATACATCTTGGCTCCTCCAATAACCGTGGCAGAGAAACATGGAGGAGCATTTTGCACCATCCATTTGGCCCCAAGTGCTTTCTGGCAAGCTGACAGAAGCAATGGAGCCTGACGCAGTTTATCTCTTTCTCAAGCAGCCGAAGACCAACAAAGCAACCACAGGTGTGCAAATTGTAGCTGCAGAGAGCATGGTTCAAGGCATGGTTGAGGCCAGAAGCACAGAGGCTTCAGGGAGCATGACTCTTGCTAACCCTTCACAGCTTCAAGATTGCCAGTCTTCCAGACTTCAGATGCAGGAGGATAGATGTTTTCAACAACAGGTTCAGCACCAAAAACCATTCAACCCAAGAGCAGCACGCAGTGTCAAGAGCCAACGGCAGAATGCTAATTTCCCGTATCAAGCGATGAATGGGGGATGCACGGGAATTGACGGCACCACAGAATGCAAGCATGTGGGCTTTATGCACTTCCGCATTGTTGAGGAGAATGAGATGGCCTCTCTGTACGTGTATGAGTTACAAGTGGAGGCTGAATATCAAGGGATGGGAATTGGCAGCAAGCTAATGAGGATTGCTGAACTCATGGCAAAGAAGGTATGACAGCTGAACCAATTTCAGATATGTGACTTTCGGGTTCCATTTTTCTGCTCTCAGCTATCAATGTTGCGGCGTTGACAACTGTTTCAATGTTGTTTTATCATATGTCTTGTTCTTCTCTAAGCTTCTCCATCTCTCACCTTCTGTGTTCTTTTCACCGTCTTGTATCCATTTTGTTTTATCAGTGTGAGCTCGAAGCCATCTTTCTTACAGTCCAGAAGGAAAATACATCTGCCAGAGCATTCTACATGGAGAAGCTAGGGTGAGAAACATCAAAATCAGGCTGCTTTCAAAGGGGCTACTGCAAGGATTCTGTTCGTAGAATTTAGACCATTGGTAGAATGTTGTGCAGTCCTTGAACACCCTGTGTCCTACCATGCCCCTGCTTTGTTTGTGGTGGTTCTTCATCGTACCACCTCGCTGCTGATGCACTTCTAACGTTGGCTTTCCAGGTCTCCCAGTCTTATGTATTCAACTGATACATCATCTTTCTCCCCTCTTTGCAGGTTCCAAACCGCAGATCACTCACCTGCAAAGGTACAGCATTGCCAACCTTTCTCACTCGCATACCTCACCCAGCATAATTTTATGGCTGCTGATTACCTGGTGATCTTGCTATGTGCAGGACGAGCAGCGTGATTACGAAATATTGATAAAATCATGCTAATCTGTTGATGTATGTGCCTAAATTTGTTACCCCATCACAATTGGAACAAATTAGGCTTGTATGCAGTCTTTTTTAAATGTAGTTACGGAATGGCTGGAACAAAACATTCTCAAAGCTAGAAGATTCATTCCCCGCACCTTTTATGGAGGATAGGTTGTGAATGCTCGTCCTGGTGCGTGCTTATCACCGACCACCAGCCTCTTATCACGATTCACAACCTCCTCAGCTACGCCATTCACTCCGCTAAGATATGACAGGGTCACTTGGTCGCATAGCTTCCGCTAGTACTAACACAACCAGCGGAAACGATAGCGGCTTCAAGGACTCGCGTAGCGGTGACCGAAGCGAGTGTTATTCGACCATTGAAACCCCAAGCAAATCCGTGAGGCGACGACCATGGCTGGCCAATCCCCGCAAACTGGCCACGTCGCGTATTTCCAAGCTGCTTCTCTTTCTGAGCCTTCTCACTGTCTTACTCCTGGGCTACTCGTTTCAATCCAGCGTTCTACGCTTTTCTGCTATGAATGCAACGAGCGCCACATTCGCAACGCGGGATTTAAAAGGCGACGTCAATGGAACGTGGAGACTTATACCCGAGAAGATCGACGCTGTATCGCGGATTGAGGACAACAGCCTAAAAGGCGTTCGCTTGAACATCACAATCAATTGCGTGGATGTTCTTCAAGCAGCCGCTAACCTCCCTGGTGCCACGAGGACTGAATTTAATCCGTCGCGCTTAACTAAGTGCAAAGCCGGTTTATGCTCGGCGATGCAGCAACTTGCGATCCAAGCTTCAGAGCGAGCGGCTATAGAGATCCAGAACCAAGACCGAAGTTTCTCCCCAGCTTCAGTTAGCCATGTCGGTTCTGTATCTCCTGCTGACGTGGATAACATTCAAAATGAGTATCTAGGAATCGTGTGCAGCAAGGAGTGGAAGCACAATCTCCTGAGTCGCTTCCCTGAAAACCATTTCTTTAAGCGAGGCGTTAAAGCCCAGAAGATATCGGTGTCGAACGTTTCTGCCCAAATTGATTCTCTTTGCGGGAAAGTGCAAGAGATAGAGAGGAACTATACGAAAGACCTCTTACAGGACTCCACAGAACGAGATGAGGGTAGTATCAACACCACCACCAGCAGCAACAGCAGCAGCAGCGGCAGCAATCCAAGTGATCAGGACAGTCCGTGCAATCACTGGCCTGAGTCGTGCTGGCCTGTGCCTGGCATGCCGTTCTCCAAACTCACGGTAAGCACACGAGCTGCACCTGCTGGTCTTGGGTACATTCCGGGTCATGTGTTAGCTGTTCTAACTGATTCCAATTTCTGTTACGTTATTGCTGTGTGAAAAGGACTCTAAGACATCGGAATATTGTACACCTCTCTTGTTCCTCGTGTGTGTGTGTGTGTGTGTGCGCGCGCGCGTGCGTGCGCACACGTGTGTGTTATTGTTTGTCAAATTCCTCCTTATTATTGTTGTTTCGATGCAGGACTTTGTGAGTCGCAAGTATCTGGTGTTTGCAGCGGTGGAGGAGCAGCTCACCAACGCCAAGATCCATGTCATTGAGGCGGCACGGGTCGCAAGAGAGACCAACCGCATCCTCGTCCTCCCAAAGGTGAATTTGTGATTTAAAACATTTTTTCGCACACTCCTGGGTTCTCACGCCTCTCAGCCCATTCCATGGTTTAAGTAGAAGAAAAAACCTCTCAATATTCCAAGATTGTTTGATCTGAACCAAGTTCAATGCTTGCTGAGCTACCACATCAACCACTTGCACACAATGCTTTTGCACCAGGACATCACTCAAAAGACCTGGTCATCCAGATTTAGAATTCCAATCTTTGTTCCTTGGCCTTCCTCCACTCACCCCTCCCCGCACAAAACCCCCCCCTCCCCACCCCCCCCCCCCCCCCCTTTTTTGTTTGTTTGTTTTGTATGTGTTTTCATATTGCGCTGCCTGTGCTTCCCAGGGCGGCCACAGCCATCTGTCGCTGGGTCGATCCATGCCCATGTGTGCCTACTGCGACTTGGCTCACCTCAACAACACGGAGTGGGTCTCCCCCGAGTTCTTCCTTCTCCTCGCCCGAGCTGCCTTTATCCACCCCTCTGTGGGATATCTCTGCGTCGACACGCCTGAGCTCGGCCGGCCCTGCTTCGGCACAAGTGAGCTTATGACAGAATAAAGCTATCATCAGCCTTGCTTAGTATCATGGCTCATGGCTCATGGCCCAGTGCAGATTTTGCAGTGCTGCAGACTAAAACTATGATTAATCTTACAAAATTCTGCAGTGACCAACCACCATGTACTGATCCCACATCCCCCTATGTACCCCTCCCAGAGGAGATTATTCGAAGCCTGGGGGCGTTGCTGACCCTGGGCATGGGTCAGCTTCCCTCGCGGACCACCACTTTCAGGCTGCACATGCCTGCTCGCCCCGACCAGATCCGCTCGCTGGTCCATGCGTGGTGAGTCTCCCAGTGAGTCGTATAGCCACTCAACTCTAGAGCCATTCTCGTGCAGTGGCGAGCCATGAGCCATGGGCCATAAGCCATGGGCCATATGCCATGGGTCGTGGAGCATGGGGCATGGGGTATGGGGCATGGGTCATGCTACCATCCCATTCGTTGTGGCCACGTTCCCAGCCTGTTTGTTGTCCACAATGCTCCCCCTGTCCCCGGTCTGTCAGGGATGACAAGGACGTGGTGATCTACTCCAAGAACACGTTTGACCGCTTTGACAGGGCAACAGATGACATCGCAGTCAACATAGATGGCCTTGCAAACAGCACTTTTCAATGTCATCTCCTATGTCCAACGTTCCCATTGCTGTCAGGGCTGACAAGGACGTGGTGATCTACTCCAAGAACACGTTTGACCGCTTTGACAGGGCAACAGATGACATTGCACATGAAGTCATGCCCTATGCGAAGCAGTGGCACGCTGTGGCTGACAGAATCGTTGCCAGGCTCCCAAAGCCTTTCATTGCCATACATTTCCGCTCCGAATTCATCGCGTATAACCTGGTAAGTTAAACTTGGAATTCATTGCGTGCACATTCATACTATCCTGCTGGCTTTTCTGGTTTGTTGCAGAAATCATAGAATCATTGGGTAGTCCAGTCATGCTCGTTGCTGTAGGCAGAGGAGAAGAAGGCTGGTCTGTCAGCTGAAGATAAGCTGAAGATTCTGGGAAAGCGCATGGAGCGATGCACGAGAGAAGCTGCATGGTTGATAAATCGTGTGAAGGCGAGGCGTAATGCCAGAACTGTTTTTATTGCCGCTGACATTCCATACAACAAGTCGGATGCAACACCCCGTTCTGAGTCTTGGGGGGGAATGGCTTGGGCCTACGGGAATGGCTCGCTGACTGAGGTGCCTCACTATTGGCTGTCCTGGCTGCGGGAGCATGTCAAAGGGACTGTTATGATTGACGAGCTGATGCCATCGTTAAATGACCAAGATCCAGGTAAGAATTGTTTGTGTTTTGTCTTTTTAGGAGCGCGCCTTACTCTGGTGGCGTTGTCGTTTGAAGTTGATTGTGTTATAAAATTGGACCTAAGTGTTATGGTTGATGTGTTTGATTGTGGTCCTGCAGGAATTGTTGCCATTGTGGACAAGCTAATTTGTGCACAGGCTCCAGTCTTCATGGCAGGCCTTGCATCGTGTGGTGGTCGTCGGAATTTTGAGAAAGACATTCTTCTCCATCGTAGGAACATATTGGGCAAATGGATTGCTATTCCTCGGTGGCCTAAAGAAGACAACCCTCCCTAGACTCATTGGCTCAAACAGGGTGGCTCTAATATATGTGGTTATGCTATTGTTGAATACATTATGTATCTACATTTTTTTGTGTAAGCTGCTTTGTTTATAAATGTTGCGTCCATGACAAGCAGGGATGTACCTGTACGGCCTTGTCAACCCACTTCGAGCAACCTGTAAATCGGCAGCTGCGTGCATGGGTTGGCTTGGGTTGATTTGTTGCAGATCAACTACACCCTCGTGTCGTGAATTGTCGTGACTTGTCAGTTCGCAAGCCTTTCAACGACTCGCGACTACAGTGCTAGTGTACTGAACTCAACTCATCACACAGATGTGGGAACATACAGCAGTTTAGAATCAATCGCGCTGTACCGTTTCAAAACGTGCAGTATCGCATTTTTTACCTGACTCTGTCCAACCCTTCCCGACAGGATTGCGCTGGACACTGGATTTCCTACCATCCAAAAGCTCAACGTTTAGTAATGGCTGACAGATTTTCCGGTTCTCACTCAGGTTGCTGACATAGGAACGGGATGACAGATGAGGTAGCGATTCGTTTTGTGTCCGGTCGCGCGCCTTGCAGAAAGTTGATGCTTACTTCAGTCGACTACTTCGCGTTGAAGACGTCTCGACCCCGTAGACTTATAGTTGGATAGGATGCGGCTAGCAAGGCGTTGTACTACAGAAGTCTTTACTTTCAGGTGGATTTAGGGATCACCAAAAGCAATTTCGTTGTGGAGATAAACTCGACGCACGCATGGTGTGAAACGTAGACACAGGATGCCATGAAAAGCCTTTTTAAGCGGGAGTTTAACACGATGACAAGATTTGTTTTTTTCCAGCACGAGTAAAACACGACGACAACACCTTTAGTCGGCACCAGAAAGTAGCTTTTTGTACGGAATAGCGACTGCCACGTCGGAAAGCGTTGCCTCGTGGCGAAAGCTTAATCGTTGCATTTCGACCGTCGTACCCATGTGATCGCATCTTAGCTGCGGGCCATGTCGACAACGTACAATCGGCCATCGCACCCATCGGACGTGGACGAAATCAGCTTCTCAAGTCCGCCAGCTTCTGCGTCGACTCAAAAGCCGACGACGTACAATCGTTCGTCGCACCCGTCGCACCCGTCGCACCCGTCGGACCCGTCTGACCTGGACGAAATCAGCTTCTCAAATCAACGAGACGCCTTCTTTCGCCCGCCGTCCGCGCTCGGAGAGTCCCCGAGCAAATTCTTCCGACGGCGACCGTGGCTGGCTGGATCACAATCCATGGCCGTTCAGCGTTCAATCCGATCCGTTTTACTCCCAGTCATCCTGCTCGGAATCTTCGTCTGCTGCTTAATCTACGGTGGGATCTTCAGCGGGTTTCCAGGAGCGAATCTCCGCCGGTTACTGACGGCGAGTGGCGACGATCCGACGGTAGCAAACGTCAACCGGACTTCCTTAGGTGCAGCTTTCAATATATCAGAATCATGCATTAAGGTCCTGAAATCAGCAGCCAGGCTCCCTGGCGCGAAAACGAAGTTCACGCCGATTCAGCTCACGGAGTGCAGCGTTACCTTATGCCAAGACATGCAGAACCTAGCTTATCAGGCATCGCAGCGAGCACTTACCGCAGCTCAAGAACCCGCTTCGGGTCCTAGTTCAGGTTCAGGTTTGGATTCAGGTTCAGGTTTAGATTCAGGTTCAGATTCAGGTTCAGGTTCTTCAGGTTCAGGTTCAGATTCAGGTAAAGGTTCAGGTTCACTGAACCCACTTGCAATCCAGCAGAAGCGACCGTTGAGCCGCGACGAGGTGGAGGAGCAGCAGCAGCAGGGGGACGTGGGTGTGGTGTGCAGCCGAGCGTGGAAGCAGGGCCTTTTGGACCGCGTGCCTGGCAGCCACTTCCTCACCCGCGCGTTTAAGAAAGAGCGGGTGTCTTTGGAGAGTATTTCAGCTGGCGTGGACTCGATTTGCAATAAGGTGGAGGACGTTGAACGGCTGATGGGGAAGAGCTACTCTGGGAGCAGCAGCAGCGGTAGCGGCAGCAGCAGCAGTGGCAGCAGCGGGAATGATAGCAATAGCAGCGGCAGCAGTCCGAGTGACCCAGACAGTCCCTGCAACCACTGGCCTGAGGCATGCTGGCCTGTGCCTGGCATGCCGTTTTCCCATCTCTCTGTGAGTGCATTTCATTCACTTCCTTGAGCAATGTCTACAAAAGCTACCCTCCCTCCCTCCCTCCCTCCCCCACGCTTCTTCCTCCGTTTCCTCGCTGTGAATGCATGTCATGCGTCTCTTGACAATCCCCTCTCATCTCATCCCTAACAACCTACAAACCCCCTCATTCCCTTCCCCTCTTCCTCTTTGTTTTTGTTAATGTTATTGTGTGTGTGTGTGTGTGTGTGTGTGTGTGTGTGTGTGTGTGTGTGTGTGTGTGTGTGTTTGCGTGCGTGCGTGCGTGTGTGTGTGTGTGTGTGTGTGTGTGTGTGTGTGTGTGTGTGTGTGTGTGTGTATGTTTCGATGCAGGACTTCGCCAATCGCAAGTATCTGGTGTTTGCAGCGGTGGAGGAGCAGCTCACCAACGCCAAGATCCATGTCATTGAGGCCGCACGGGTGGCCAGGGAGACCAACCGCATCCTCGTGCTGCCCAAGGTAGGTACCGCACAGCACACCCGTGACTCTTTCATCGCTCGCCTGTTGCCTCACCACCACCCGCATATCAACACACTGGCCCGTTCTCCTCACTCTCTTACTCCCGTTGCTTATTCCCATCTCAGTCCCTCCCTCCCTCTCCCAGAAGCAAAGCTCGCTCGCGAGCCTCCAGGGCTGGTGAGGTGAGCCGCCGGACCTGCTCGCCCCAAGCCAGCTTGGCTTGGCTTGAGCCAAGGTTCGGCACGGCCGTATATTCCAAACCTTGAGCCTGCCCCCCCGCTCTTCCCCCGCTCTTCCCCCCCTCTTCACCCCCTGCCCTTTCTTCTTCTCAGGGGTCCCACAGCCATCTGTCTCAGGGGCCAAGCCCCAGTGTTTTCAACTACCTCCTTCCTCCCTCACATCCTCCCTCCCTCCCCCTCTTCACCCCCTGCCCTTTTTTCCTTCTCAGGGGTCCCACAGCCATCTGTCACTGGGTCGATCCATGCCCGTGTGTGCCTACTGCGACTTGCAGCCGTTGCAACCCCTCCCTCCCTCACTCCCTTCCTCACTCCCTCACTCCCTCCCTCCCTCCCTCCGTACCCCCCCCACCCGCTCCTTCTCAGGGGTCCCACAGCCATCTGTCGCTGGGTCGATCCATGCCCATGTGTGCCTACTGCGACTTGGCTTATCTCAACGCCACGGAGTGGGTCTCCCCCGAGTTCTTCCTCCTCCTCGCCCGAGCTGCCTTCGTCAAGCCCACCGTCAGCTACCTCTGCGTTGACACTCCCGAGCTCGGCCGGCCCTGCTTCGGCACAAGTGAGTCAAGGCCAGAAAGAGAGCACAATTGTAGTCGTTTCAAGGCCTGCCTTCTCCCACCCCACCGTCAGCTACCTCTGCGTTGACACACCTGAGCTCGGTAGACCCTGCTTCGGCACAAGTGAGTCAAGGCCCTGACGATTGCTTTATTCTAGTCCGTTCACGGGCTCTATGGGATACCTCTGTGTTGACACTCCCGAGCTTGGTCGGCCCTGCTTTGGCACAAGTGAGCATTCGTGGTAGGGAGAGAGGGGGGAAGATTAGTACGGATGCGAGCGTTTCAAGAGCTGCCTTCTACCTTTGTGTGTGTGTGTGTGTGTGTGTGTGTACGCGCATGTGCGCACGCGCGTATGTGTGTGTGTTAACAATTCTGTGCTTGATAGTGAGAGCAATACCATGAATGCACTACTTCATTACGTTCTGTTTGTTGTTCAGTTCAGTCATAATTCTCAGAGGGCAATTCCATGAATGCACTAATACACTACGTTCCGTTGTTGTGCTGTCAGTCACGTGACAGACAGTACATTTACAGAACTTGCATTCGTTTATATCTGTATACCGCCCCCTGTCCTCCCTGCGATCTCCGCTGCTCCTAACCTTGCCCCGTGAGCAGCGGAAATTGCAGGGAGTCTGGGGGCAGTGTTCACACTGGCCATGGGGCACGTGCCCACGGGGGGCAACACCATCTGGCTGCACATGCCTGCCCGCTTCGACCAGATCCAGTCCCTGCTCAACGCTTGGTAAGATGGTAGTGGGAAAGGGTGAGCCGGAGTGGGGCATGGTGAGATGGAGTGGGGCATGGTGAGATGGAGTGAAATACTCATCTCTTTTAACCAGATACCCCAAAAAGAATACATGTGACTGCGTGAGCAGGAGAGTTCTTCTCCATCCCCCTCTGCAGAAAGCAGAAAGCACAGAGATGTAGTGATAGATATACACATGACTGCTTAAGCGGGAGACAGTCAATGTCTCATACACACACCTGCCTGTCCTCCCACACACCTGTCCTCCCACGCACGTCTGCCATGAGTTGTTCTCTTCTCTTGCTTCTTCTCTACCCCCCTCTGCAGCAAGCACAGGGATGTGATGATATACGCCAAGAATACATCCGAGCGTTCTGTTTGCCCCCACTCCTCCTTCCCCCCCCCTTCCCTCTCCTCCGCCTTGCAGGAAGCACAGGGATGTGATGATATACGGCAAGAACACATCCGAACATATCACCACCTACCAGTGGTAGGGACGTGGAAGCACACCACTTACCACAATCCCATTTTCTCATTTCCCTACCGGCCTCCTCCCCCCAGGAAGCACTGGGACGTGGTGGTGATATACCCCAAGAGCACATGCATGGAGGGTAGTGCGCGGGGCAGGCGACATGGCGCACACCATCCTTTCACACACCTACCAACCACAATCCAAGCTCTCATCTATATTCATCCCACTGGGGAAGCACCCACTGGGGAAGCACAGGGACGTGGTGTGGTGGTATACGCCAAGAACACATACGAGCGTTTCGAGCACACGAGAAATGGTGCTGCATCTCACCTACCACAAATCCCGTCCTTTCCCTCCCCGCTTCCTCCCCCCAGGAAGCACAGGGACGTGGTGGTGGTATACGCCAAGGACACATCCGAGCGTTGAGGCGCCTCATAACTAGACTCGTTTTGAGGCGCCTCAAAACTCTACCCCCCTCTCCAGGAAGCACAGGGACGTGGTGGTGGTGGTATACGCCAAGAACACATTCGAGCGTTCTGTTTGCAAGACGGGCGACAAGGCGCATGCACTGCTGCCGTCTGCCCACGAGTGGCCTGGTCTCTCGTCTCTTGTGGCGCCTCAAAAGTCGTCTCCTGTCTCGCGGTTTTGAGGCGCCTCAAAAATCGTCTCCTGTCTCGCGGTTTTGAGGCGCCTCAAAAGTCGTCTCCTGTCTCGCGGTTTGAGACGCCTCAAAAGGCGCATGCAGTGCTGCCGTATGATCGCGAGTGGCCTGGTCTCTCTTCTCTTGTCTCTCATCTCTCGTCTCACCCGCTCGGGCAGGGCAGCATGGGCAGCTGCCAGCTGCTATAGACAAGGCGCATGCAGTGCTGCCGTATGACGCGAGTGGCCTGGTCTCTCTTCTCTTGTCTCTCGTCTCTCGTCGCACCCGCTCGGGCAGGGCAGCATGGGCAGCTGCCAGCTGCTATAGACAAGGCGCATGCAGTGCTGCCGTATGCCCGCGAGTGGCCTATTCTTTCGTCTCCCCTCTCCCCATCGCCCTCCCTTCCCGCTTTTCCCCTTTCTTCCATTCGCTCCTCCTTCCCTCCCCCCTCCCCCCTTCCCTCTCCTCCGCCTTGCAGGAAGCACAGGGATGTGGTGATATACGCCAAGAACACATATGAGCGTTTCGATCGGGAAACAGACGACATGGCGCATGTGTTGCTGCCGTACGCCCGAGAGTGGCACCTCGCTGCCAAGCGCATCGTGGCCCGCCTTCCGAAACCCTTCATCGGCGTCCATTATCGCTCCGAGTTCATCGCCTTCCGACTGGTATGCATGCTTCCCGTCTGTGGCTTGCACCTCAAAAGTTGTCTCAAAAGCCGTATGGCTGCTAGAAGCCCGTTCCCTCTTTTGTCTTCCCTTGAGAGGGAGACGGACGACATGATGTGGCACATGCTGTGCTGCCGTACGCCCGAGAGTGGCACCTTGCTGCCAAGCGTATCGTGGCCCGCCTTCCGAAGCCCTTCATCGGCGTCCATTATCGCTCCGAGTTCATCGCCTTTCGACTGGTATGCTGCTGCCCCTTCTTTGCTGCTGAGGCTTTGAGCATTAGACGGACGGCATGACATGGCTCATGTGTTGCTGCCGTATGCCCGAGAGTTGCACCTCGCTGCCAAGCGCATCGTTGCCCGTCTGCCCAAGCCGTTCATAGGAGTGCACTACTGCTCCGAGTTCATCGTCTTCAGGCTGGTATGTATGCTTCCCATCCATCACCTTTGAGGCTCTCAAAAGCCGTACCCCTGTTAGTACGAGGAGCCCATTCCCTCCCTTGTCTGTCCTCGAGAGGGAGACAGACAAAGGTGTTGTGTCACATCACATGTGGTGTTGCTGCCGAATGCCCGAGAGTGGCATCTCGCTGCCAAGCGCATTGTTGCCTGCCTGTCCAAGCCGCTCATTGGAGTGCATTACCGCTCCGAGCTCATTGCCTTCAGGCTGGTATGCTCCCCATATGTCGCTTCTTGGGCGACTCAAAACCGTATGGATGCTAGAGAGGCGTGTTCCCTCCTTTGTCTCCTCTTGAGAGGGAGAGTTTCCATGATCTTGGTTCCACCTCCTTTGTGTATGTGTGTGTGTTTTTTTTTCCTGTGCAAGGCTTAGTGTCACTGTCTTTCGCTCTTGGGATTTGTTCCTTTGCAACATCCACTCACCATCACTATTACCGTCCCCATCACCATCACCATCACCATCACCATCACCATCACCATCACCATCCCCATCCCCATCCCCATCACCATCCCCATCACCATCCCCATCCCCATCCCCATCCCCATCCCCATCCCCATCACCGTCATCAGGCAGGTGAAAACAGAACCGACATCCCAGTCGAGGAGAGGCTGAAAATTCTCAAGGATCGCACCAGGTGGTGCACCAAAGAAGCTGCCCAGAAAATAAACAAAGTAAAAAACAGGCACAACGCATCCACCGTCTTTCTGGCAGCCGATATTCCGTACAATCAGTCCGGCGTCACGCCTCGGTCGGAGTCATGGGACGCTCTGAAATGGGCGTTTGGAGATAACAATGTGTCGGATGTGCCTCACTATTGGCTGTCCTGGTTGCGCGAGAAAGTGGAAGGGACTGTCATGATTGACGAGCTTATGCCTTCGGCAAACAACCTCGACCCAGGTGCGTCAAACTCATCATTTTTCACCCGTTTTTTTTTTTTTTTTGTGAAGTTGTCAATATTCAATCAGTCCAGTTGTGGCTACATTTGACGTCCTTTGCGATATTTCCTGGCAGGTATCGTCGCCATTTTAGACAAGCTGATTTGTGCGCGGTCAAGCATCTTCCTTGCCGGCTCCATATCTTGTGGAGGTGGCCGGGGTTTTGAGAAAGATATATTACTTCACCGTGACAGCTTGAATAAGAAGCTAGATTTCGTTAGATGGGCTGCCGGGGAGAAACCCTTTTAGCATTAGTCTGTTAATGAACAATATGGTGTGTCTTGACTTAGAAATGACAATGGAGATTTTTGAAAAGAGGTAGTACTGGAATCGAATGCTGGGGTTCAAACAATTTGGGGTGTGGGTCATTATCCCCGGTGCGACGTGTCGTTCAGGATTGACTGCCAATCAAAGGCGAGGTGACGTGTGAAATGTATGACGTGTGGATCTCGGGGCAATCCAGCATCGCTTCCCATTCGTATTTCACCGATGAGAATGCCTGACATGCCTCGGATTTCAGGCCAAATTCTTTCCAAAATTGAAGGGCGTACTTACAATAGAGTTTCAAAAACCGGTTTGATACCTCGTTTTCCTGATTGTGCTGGGTTGCGTTTCCAGAGCAAATCGTCGGGGCCCTTTTCAAGCTCACTGGAAAGGAAAGGCCTGTCATCAAAGGAGGCCAAGTACTTCACAGTATGACTGCATTTCAATTTCGGATCACTGGATTCACACGTTCAGAATCCTGTGATCCGAAATCGGGACGCTCTGTCACCAACGATCTGGAATACCTCCTCTTCACACTCACTACTCATTCCATCTTCAGCTTTCTGACCAGCATTGCATTCCTCAGAGAAATACCTCACTGGTTTATGCCTTCAGAATCTACTTTGAGAGGCTAGCTTTTCTGAACTTACTCCTCTCATCCTCCACACATTCAGGACCATTTCGAGGTTCTGTCAAATGGCTGCTTCAACGCTCTCCGCGTCCGTTGCTCAGGCCGCCGTTGCGCTTCAAAGTAAGACAGTTCTAGCTGGCAAGTCCGATTGCTCTGGTCTATGGAGCCTGTCCATGCACAAGATTCGCGTATCCGTTCCCCGGTCTCAGCTGTTAGTTAATTATTGTAATGAAAGTAGGAACATGAGGAGATGTCGCCGTTCTAGAATCCTCGCACCTTATTTATACACGTTCGGCTCTGGCGCAAGCATCTTCCGTATCTAGTTATATGCATAAAAAAGACACCCGCACTGGCACGAAAATAAGACTCCCTCCAATGTTCTGGTCATTTTTGGAAAATAAGAATCCCTTCATTCTATCCGCTGCTCCTTCGCAGGCAATGGTAGCGTTCGTGCCGAACGGATCTCCTCCGCAGCGGCTCTTTTCCCCTCCAGAGTCGCTGGTCTCTCCGGTGAGTCCGTTTTCCTGACCACTTTGGCGCCTCTTAACCCCTTGAGGTTGCCGGTGGCTCTTCAGTTCGTTCATTCTAGCCATTCCTCTGCAGGGGCCACGTGTCCACGTGACCATTCGTTTACGTGGCGGTGTGTTCACGTGGTTATGCGTTTACGTGGCCATGTAAACTCATGGCCATTCGGTCATGTGGTGATGCTGTCACGTGGCCATGCGATCGTATCTACCCGTCTCTTTCCGTGATGCCTCACGCGCGCCATTGTTTGGCCTTAACGCGTTTTTGCTCCTGCCCCCTCCCTTCTTCCGCTTGCCTCTCCTTCTCCCCACCCTTCTTCCCTCTCCACCCATCTTTTCCCTACTTTCGTCCCCTCCCCACCCTCCCCTTCCCGTTCCCAACTTCCCCCGCCTCGTCCGCCTTCTCCGTCCCCTCCACCTCCCTCTGCCTTCGCCTCTTCCGCCTGCTCCCCTTCCGTCCGCCTCCTCCGCTTCCGCATCTTCCGCCTGATCCGCCTCCTTCCCCGACCACAGCCAGCAGCCCCTTGTCTCGGAGCGCGCGCACGCCAGGCAGCGGGGTCGCGAGGAGAGCCAACCGGATGGCGCCACGTGCGTCCGCGGACGCAGAGGAGCCGGTGACCATTGACAACTCGACCGGTGAGATTTGGATACCCTGAGATTCAGCTACTCCAGTCGTTACGTGGTAACCAGAGGGCGTGTTAACGGTACTGTTGAAAGAGAGGTGTGGAACGCAAAGGAGCCGGTGACCATTGACAACTGGACCGGTGAGATTCGGATGCCGTTGCCTTGTCAAGTTCTGAGATGACCTGTGACGGGTTTCGGGTATAAGCCGGCGAGCGAGGGCGAGGGAAGGGCAAAAAAACTGGTGACTGTTGACAACACGATTGGTGAGATTTGACTTGTCTAGTCTAATTTTGTTAGTCGCAAAGCCAGAGAGAGGGTTTAGGGTTGAGGGGCGGGATAGGGATGGGGAGAATGAGGGAACGGGTTGTGGGTATGTGGATGGACTAGTCAGGGAGAAGAAAGAAGGGCTTAGAAAGAAGGGACAAAGAACGAGAGAAGCAAGAACAGCGAATGTGAGAGTCACAGACAGCAAGCATGTCAATGGGAACTGACTGGCATCAGGTGGTGTGGGTCCCGCACACTCTCTTCCACTATCTCCTCTCTCACTCACTCCCCCCGCTTCCGCGTCCCATCTCGTGCTCACTCACAGTCCTCGTGGTGGGAGGCGGTGGAGTGGGATTGGAGGTGGTGAGGCAGCTGGCCAATGCGGGCTCGTGGGAGAAGTTATTAATGTGTTTATCTCATACCCCACCCTCTCTTTCCTCCCATCGTGTCATCCCTCTCTTTCCTCACCCTCAGTTCTTGTTGTGGGTGGTGGCGGAGTGGGCCTGGAGGTGGTTCGGCAGCTGGCCAAGGCGGGCTCGTGGGTGACGGCCCTGCAGAGAGAGGAAACGCCTTGAATGCAACTTACCTCGCCTCACACACACTCTCTCCCCCTATCTTGCCCCGCCTTCCCCCGCTCCCCACCTGCTGAACACTCCGTCCTTCCAGTCCTCGTGGTGGGCGGGGGTGGAGTGGGAATGGAGGTGGTGAGGCAGCGTGTGTTTATTTAGAATTCTCAAAAAACCCACGCTTGAGGCAGCAGGCTCGTGACTGACAGCGCTTCAGAGGGGGGAAGAAGTGTACATGTGATTATCACATCTCCCACCCTCTCTTTTCCTCCCATCGTGTCACCCCTCTCTTCCCTCTCACAGTTCTCGTGGTGGGCGGTGGCGGGGTGGGCATGGAGGTGGTTCGTCAGCTGGCCAAGGCAGGCTCGTGGGTGACGGCTCTGCAGAGGGGGGAGAAGTTTCGCAAGGAGATTGAGGGGCTGGGAGCCATGCTGGCCATTGGGGACGTGATGGCTCCTGGCACCATTGAGAAGGCGCTCAGAGGAAACACATTTGACGCTGTTGTGTCCACCGTTGGTGAGTTGGCGGCAGTGGGCAGTGGGCGTGATGGTGTGTGTGTGCTGTAGAGCCCGACCGGGGAGATTGAGGGGCTGGGGGGCATGCTGGCCATTTGGGACGTGATGGCTCCGGGAACCATTGAGAAGGCGCTCAGAGGAAACACCTTGGATGCTGTCGTGCCCACCGTTGGTGAGTCAGGGAGGAAACTGTGGAGTGTGAGTGGATGTGTGAGCGCGTGCATGGGTGTGAGTGGATGTGTGAGCGCGTGCATGGGTGTGAGTGGATGTGTGAGCGCGTGCATGGGTGTGAGTGGATGTGTGAGCGCGTGCATGGGTGTGAGTGGATGTGTGAGCGCGTGCATGGGTGTGAGTGGATGTGTGAGCGCGTGCATGGGTGTGAGTGGATGTGTGAGCGCGTGCATGGGTGTGAGTGGATGTGTGAGCGCGTGCATGGGTGTGAGTGGATGTGTGAGCGCGTGCATGGGTGTGAGTGGATGTGTGAGCGCGTGCATGGGTGTGAGGGTGTGTGTGTGTGTCATGCAGCCTAGCAGCTGAGACGATTTTTTAGGCGCCTCTAAAACCGTGGGGAGTGAGTGAATGTGTGAGCGCGTTCATGGGTGTGAGTGTGTGTGTTTGTGTGTATGTGTGCACGTGCGCGCGTGTGTGTGTGTGTGCGCGCACGTGCCGCGTGTATGTTTGTGTGTGTGCATTCTTTTTGTGACTTACTATATTCATGTGTTTGTGTGTTCGTTTGTATTTTACTTTGTGTGTCTGCGCAGGAGTCTACTGGTGAGGTTCCTAAAAAATGACTCAGTATATCAATGTGTTCGTGTGTTCTTTTGTTTCTTACTATGTGTGTCTGTGCAGGAGGGGGTCTTACCGACATAAAGGTGGATTCGGTAAGTGAGATGTGATGCTTCATTTAGAGTGCATTACTGCAATGCGTTTCTGGAATTCGTTTCTGGGTTGCAGTACAGCTGCGTTACTGCCGATCCTTCGCTCCTTCCTCTTTTCTTCCTAATTCCTGCTTCATGTGCGTCTCTTCCACCTCTTTTCTCCTCTTCCTCGTCTTTCGTCCCTCCCTCTTCCACCCACGACAGACGGCAACAACAATGTCATTGCAGCAGCAGAGAAAGCTGGGGTTCCTCGCTTCGTCCTTGTAAGCTAGCTTGCTGAAAGCCATTTTCTCACTTATTTTTTGCCTCCTCTTCTCCCCCCTCCCCCCTCCCACCTTTGACAGGACGGCAACAACAACGTCATAGCAGCAGCAGAGAAGGCTGGGGTTCCTCGCTTCGTCCTTGTGAGTTGGTTGGTTAGAGAGGAAGGGGGGAATGAGGGAAGGAGGTAGGAGGGATGAAGGGTGGGAGGAGAGAAGCGGGAGGAAGGGGGGATGAGGGATAGGGAGTGTCCCTCCTCTCGTACTGACTTCCTTTTTGGAAACGAGGGAAAAAGGAGCGGGGATTAGGGGGAGAGAGATGGACGTGCTGATGCGGTGCAGGTGCTTGCATGGGGAGCAACGCTTAATCCTGTTCACTTCTTTCCCAGGTGTCGAGCATAGGAGGAACAGAGAAGAGCAACGCAAAATCACTCTTCTCTGTTCCTCTCCTACTCTCCCCTGCTCTCTTCCCCACTCTCCCCTCCTCCCTGCTCTCCCCTCCTCCCTGCTCTCCCCTCGTCCCTGCTCTTTCCCTCTTCCTGCCCTCTCCCTCTCTCCCTTCCCTCCCCCTCTCCCTTCTCCCCCCCTTTCTTTGCTCTCCCCCTCTCGCTTCTTCCCTCCCTCCGTGCCCTTGCCTTCTCTCCCAGGTGTCGAGCATAGGAGCGGGTGACAGAAAGCCAGCTGTCCCAGGAAAGGAGATGGACGTGTTGGGGCCGGTGCTGGCCGAGAAGAAGAAGAGCGAGGAGCAACCCAACCCACCCTCTCTCCTCTTTGCTTCTGTTCCTCGCCTTGATCCCCTGCTCTCCGTCTCTCCCCTGCACTCTCTACTCAGGTGTCCAGCATAGGAGCGGGCGACAGCAAGGCGGCCATGCCAGGCAAGGAGATGGACGTGCTGGGGCCGGTGCTGGCCGAGAAGGAGAAGAGCGAGGAGCGGCTCAAGGCCAGCGATAAGCTCAAGTGGACCATTGTTCGCCCAGGAGGGCTGCTCTCAGATGTAAGCGTGATGTTTGGTCTAAGCGTGATGTTTGGTCTAAGCGTGATGTTTGGTCTAAGCGTGATGTTTGGACTAAGCGTGATGTTTGGACTAAGCGTGATGTTTGGTCTAAGCGTGATGTTTGGTCTAAGTGTGATGTTTGGTCTAAGCGTGATGTTTGGTCTAAGCGTGATGTTTGGCCTAAGCGTGATGTTTGGTCTAAGTGTGATGTTTGGACTAAGCGTGATGTTTGGTGTAAGAGTGATGTTTGGTGTAAGCGTGATGTTTGGTGTAAGCGTGATGTTTGGTGTAAGCGAGATGTTTGGTCTAAGCGTGATGTTTGGTGTAAGCGTGATGTTTGGTGTAAGCGTGATGTTTGGTGTAAGCGTGATGTTTGGTGTAAGCGAGATGTTTGGTCTAAGCGTGATGTTTGGACTAAGCGTGATGTTTGGTCTAAGCGTGATGTTTGGACTAAGCGTGATGTTTGGTCTAAGTGTGATGTTTGGTGTAAGTGAGATGTTTGGACTAAGCGTGATGTTTGGTCCAAGCGTGATGTTTGGTCTAAGCAAGATGTTTGGACTAAGCGTGATGTTTGGTCTAAGCGTGATGTTTGGTCTAAGTGTGATGTTTGGTCTAAGCGTGATGTTTGGTCTAAGCGTGATGTTTGGCCTAAGCGTGATGTTTGGTCTAAGTGTGATGTTTGGACTAAGCGTGATGTTTGGTCTAAGTGTGATGTTTGGTCTAAGCGTGATGTTTGGTCTAAGCGTGATGTTTGGCCTAAGCGTGATGTTTGGTCTAAGTGTGATGTTTGGACTAAGCGTGATGTTTGGTGTAAGAGTGATGTTTGGTGTAAGCGTGATGTTTGGTGTAAGCGTGATGTTTGGTGTAAGCGAGATGTTTGGTCTAAGCGTGATGTTTGGTGTAAGCGTGATGTTTGGTGTAAGCGTGATGTTTGGTGTAAGCGTGATGTTTGGTGTAAGCGAGATGTTTGGTCTAAGCGTGATGTTTGGACTAAGCGTGATGTTTGGTCTAAGCGTGATGTTTGGACTAAGCGTGATGTTTGGTCTAAGTGTGATGTTTGGTGTAAGTGAGATGTTTGGACTAAGCGTGATGTTTGGTCCAAGCGTGATGTTTGGTCTAAGCAAGATGTTTGGACTAAGCGTGATGTTTGGTCTAAGCGTGATGTTTGGTCTAAGTGTGATGTTTGGTCTAAGCGTGATGTTTGGTCTAAGCGTGATGTTTGGCCTAAGCGTGATGTTTGGTCTAAGTGTGATGTTTGGACTAAGCGTGATGTTTGGTGTAAGAGTGATGTTTGGTGTAAGCGTGATGTTTGGTGTAAGCGTGATGTTTGGTGTAAGCGAGATGTTTGGTCTAAGCGTGATGTTTGGTGTAAGCGTGATGTTTGGTGTAAGCGAGATGTTTGGTCTAAGCGTGATGTTTGGACTAAGCGTGATGTTTGGTCTAAGCGTGATGTTTGGACTAAGCGTGATGTTTGGTCTAAGTGTGATGTTTGGTGTAAGTGAGATGTTTGGACTAAGCGTGATGTTTGGTCCAAGCGTGATGTTTGGTCTAAGCAAGATGTTTGGACTAAGCGTGTTGTTTGGTCTAAGCATGATGTTTGGTGTAAGAGTGATGCTTGGTGTAAGCGTGATGTTTGGTGTAAGCGTCATGTTTAGTGTAAGCGTGATGTTTGGTGTAAGCGTGATGTTTGGTGTAAGCGAGATGTTTGGTCCAAGCGTGATGTTTGGACTAAGCGTGATGTTTGGTCTAAGCCTGATGTTTGGTCTAAGCGTGATGTTTGGTCGAAGCGTGATGTTTGGTCTAAGCGTGATGTTTGGTCTAAGCGTGATGTTGGTGTAAGCGTGATGTTGGTGTAAGTGTGGTGCCAGATGTTCGGCGCGCGGAGAAGAGGTGAAATCTAAGCCTGCCCTGCTTTAGGACATAGCCGAGAGTCAAGGGAAAAAGTGCTGTTTCATGGGAGAGACGGGTGTGAGAAGAGCGGGGACGGGTGTGAGAAGAGCGAGGAGCGGTTCACAGGGAGCAAGAAGCTCAAGTGGACCATTGTACACCCAGGAGGGCTGCTCTCAGATGTAAGGGGCGAGGTAATGGGTGCAGGGCTGTCTGTGTGGAGCTGCTTTCACGCATAAGCCTGCTCTCTCTTTCTCTACCAACCGTGCACCCTTCTCATCCTTACCATCCTCCACCTCCCACCCTTCCCCTCGTGGCCCCCGATACCCTCACCCACACACCTCTCTCCAGCAGGCGGCCAGTGGCTCGGGCGCTCTCGCAGAGGAAATGGCCCTACAAAGTACCAGTCAAATACTCACCCCACGTCTCCCCCCCCTCCCGCCCATTGTCTCCCCCTCTCCTCCCGTCTCCGCCCCCTCTCCCCCCTCTCCGGTCTCCTTCTCCTCCAAGCGGCCATTGGATCGGGCATTCTCACAGAGGACAGCAGCGTGGTTGGGGTCATTTAAATTTATAAGTCTACTCAGTGATCACCTTTCACCTCCCCCCACCTCTCCTCTCTTTCCCCAACACAATCCCCTCCTCCAGGCGGCCAGTGGATCGGGCATTCTCACAGAGGACAGCAGCGTGGTGGGGGTCATCTCCCGTGCTGACGTGGCACAACTGGTGAGTCACCTCACCACCCTGCTGATGTGGCACAGCCCGTGAGTCGCCACCTGGTTGCTGAACTCAACCATGTCTTGCCCGAGGATGTTTGAGGTTTGTATGTTGTCCCACCCATGCCCAACTCATACAATCCCAATGAGCCATTGTTCACCAGTCTCCCTTATATCCGTCCCTGCCCATGTGCCCATCACTGCAACATCCCTCCTTGTACCTGCGCCCACCACCCCACCATCAGATTTTGCGCATTCTCTTTGAGGAGAAGGCGGAGGGGAAGGTTTTCTCTGCAATTGATGCGCAAAAGGTGGGTGTGGGTGCAAAACGTGGGTCAGTACGTCGTATTTTCATTTCCCGTCTCCCCTCACACAAACCACGAACATACTCCCTCTCACTGCCGCTGCATAAATGCACGCTTTGCCTTCGAGTCATTCCTTCCCACCCCGGAACCCTGCTCATACCTTGTCCCGTCATGATTTTTGCAGAAATTTCCTGGAGCGCCTGAGAAGGAGATTGTGGAGTTCAAGGTGTAAACCGCCCCTTGATCTAGTGACACCTGATGTAAGGATTTTATAATGGAAATGTACGCAGCATTTGAGAAGGAAGTTGCTGAGTTCAATCTGTAGCACCTCATTTGACATAGTTTTATATGCTAGGATTTATTTTATCTGCAAAATACGATTTTCATGAAAAGTTAAATATAGAACAAAGGCTATTTAGATAGGATAAACAGGAAAATTAGAAATGATGGGTTAAAACTAATATATCTTGTCACAGAAGGGTGGATTGGAGGTGATGCTGTAGGGCAGCTGGGTCCCTGCGAAATATCAGACTCAAAGTGATTCTTGTGAAGGGCGAGGCTATGAGTTGAACATGCTGTTTCAGAAATTCAGTCCTTCGATTGTGTCACTGGCGGCTCCACTGTGCTTCCACCGAATTTTGTGATCCATTGAAGCCACGGCTACGGATATGATTGAATTGGAACGGGCTCTTGTATCGAGCTTTCACGTCATTTGGAAATTGTCCCCTCTTATGCGCTTCCACACTGTCAGCTTTCAGAAAACTGACCTCATCGAACGGCTCATCGCTGATCTCGGCTGGTCGCGATCAGGTCCCATAGATGATCGCCCAATGAGACGAGGCTTTGCTGGCACCGTTTCGCTTGATGGTTCGGCCCTCGGCTATCAGCGCGGTCTGAAGGATGGCTCGGCAGCGTTACTTCTGGACACATGGCGACGTGTCGAAGCAAAATCCGAGGCTCGTCGTTTGGTAGAAGGAGCGAGAAGCTGGTTGTTGGGTTTGGTATCGAAATAGGCCTGGTGGAAAGTTTTATTAGGGCTGAAGGGAAAACTTTGGCCGCTAGAAGAATATTTCAGAGTCCGGAGGACACGGACAGGTGAAAATTGGCCGGGCAAGTCGAGGCAGGTGCGGCTTGGTTGGCCTGCCCGACATGTGACAATGTCCAGCAAGCACAAATCCCCTCACTTCCCAAGGCGTGTCAAAACAGGTTCATTTCTAATCGTAGCCTACTGAACCGCTTGAAGATCATGATATAGCACTATATAACCGTAAAACAGACCTCAAAACCGTATTTTACCAGCCACGGCCTGGATAATGCTTGTTGTTCTGAGCGAGCGACGAGAGCGCAACTACTAGCTCAACTGCACCCCGTCTATGACAACCATTCGCCCCTTCGCTGCATCCCATCCGCAACACCAAGCGAGTCATGATGTCATGTGATTCATGCCTTCGGGCCTTCTTCCAGACAGTTTGCTTTGCACACAGGTTGCAATGCATTCCATTCTTCGATGGACCCCTGTCGCGCACTCGTTCCAGCCTCGCTCCCTGTTCGTGGCGTACTCCTCGCTATGCTGACGTGTAGTTTTGGCGACTCGGCAACGCAATCCGTCGCCCAGCCGCCAGTCTCTTCGATACGAGATGTTAGAGTCAACTCGATCTAGAATCATCCCTAACATCGACCAGCAAGCAGCCGTCAATTCCCAGGGCTGGAACGCGTGTGGCCTGGACCCGATCACATGACATGCGCGGTACGATGTGTGAGCATTACGATGCTGCCTTGTCAAGCGTTATCTGCACCCTGTTTTACAGTTCTACCCTAGCCGCCCTTTTCTCGCTTCTGTACCTCCCGCATTCAGCTTGTGTCAACGTTGTTAGTCCTCGTCATTGCACTCCTCTCATAACTCGAAGCCATGCCCCTTCGCGAGTCTTATTATTCCACACCTCGTTCCAGCTTTCGATACCTAGCGATGCCTTACAATAAACGGGTGCTGGAGCTCTGATGGGATTGAGAAAGTCGAGAAAATATAGTAGGCGCTGACGTGGATCGTCCTCGTTTAGTTTCCAGCCAGAGCAGACCTATTCGAGCAGTCCCCCTCGTATGCGCTCTTACCTCCACGCCCACATGAGAATGAAAGAGCACGCCACGTCACTGCATGCAAGAGCACTCCTCCGGCCGTTAAGACGCGCCGCCTCGCTCCTCCTCCTTCTACACCTCCACCTCGCCTCCTCCGCCTTCCTCCGCCTCGCGCGCGCCAACGAGTCGCTCGACACTCTCGACGCGCGCGATGCTGCCGAGCCTCTAGACGCTACCGAGTCGGTTAATGCGCGAACCCTACTTGATGCTCGTAGCTCCCTCGATCATGCCCATGCTCCCGCCGACAGCAACCGCCCTTCCGCGGGCATAAGCTCTTTCGCGGGGAATGGCTCCTTTGCGGGAAAGGGCTCGTGCGCGCCCGCTTCCGCCTCGTTTTCCGCCTCCGCGTCCGCCTCTTCCGCTTCCGCTTCCGCACCTGCTTCCGCGCTCCCCGTGGTGGTGTGGCACGGGTTCTTCGACTCGTGCAGCAACGACAAAAGCGTGGGTTATCTGCGCGCCGCCGTGCGGAGCGTTCTCCCAGACGTGTTTTTCCACTCGATATGCGTCAAGGAGGACGGCATACGCGATATAAGCTCCTCCATCTTCGGATCGATCGACCAACAGGTAACGATATGGCAACAACATTGCCGTAGCAAGCGGTAGTTGGCTTCAATAATGCTCGTTCTATTCAGACAAACAAAGAAACAAACAAAAACATTTCAAAGTCAACGTGCTAGGCAACATGACAAATCATACGAGCCAAAAGTCATTCGTGCAGTGCTCTCACCCTCTCCTCTCTCCCCCCACCCCTTCATCTCTCCCCCCCTCTCCTTCAACCACTCTTCCCTTCTCTTTCTGTCCCCGTCGCAGATCGACGAGGTCTGCGCGTCGCTGGCGGCCATTCCGCAGCTGGCGCGCGGATTCAACGCCATCGGCATCAGCCAGGGCGGGCTGCTCTTCCGCGCGTACGTGCAGCGCTGCAACTCGCCCCCCGTGCGCACGCTCATCACTCTCGGTTCCCCCCACGCGGGAATGGCGGCGCTGCCGTACTGCGGCCCGAGCAGAGAGATTAAAGAGGAGCTGAACCCTGCCGGGTGCACGCGGGTTGGGGATGATGATGACGTGGCGGCGAACGCCACGTCTAGCGCCAGCGTGGCAGCAGACTGGGAGGGGGAAAGCACGTGGCAGGAAGAGGAGGGGGCAGAATCGGGCGGACTTAGTAGTCTAGGAGGCATCGGCGAATCTGCGTTAAGAGTGCTTGCATCTAGCAGCAACGGCCTTAGCGGCTTTAGCGGCGGGTTAAGCGGGCTCAGCAGCGGTAATAGCCTAAGCGGCTTCAGTAGCGGCCTAATAAGCTTTAGCGGCGGAATCAGCGGCGGAAGCTTCGCTGGAAGCAGCGAGATTGCAGGGAGCGTGACTTGGGCGTTGCTTAGCGGCCTAGGGGCGGCTGTAGACTTCTGCACACTTTTAAAACCGCATATGCACCGAATTTACCAGCCCTGGGTACAAAAGTTTTTCATGCCCGCGCAGTTCTTTCGGCTTTGGCGGCACATGGATCGGTACTTGCAACGGAGCGCGTTTCTCGCGGATATCAACAACGAACGCGGCCCGACGAGACGGAATGAGACGTACGCTGCGAACGTACGGAGCTTGGATCGGCTGGTACTGGTGCGATGGCAAGATGAAACGATGATCTCGCCTCCCCAATCATCGGTGCGTTACATGTCCCTCTTCCGCCTTCCCCCGTACACTACCTTCCCCCACTCTGACAACCCCTATCCCAAACATCAACACCCCACACCCCACCCACTCCCCCACGCAACCTTATTCCGAATTTTTCACTTCACCCAATTACCACCTCCCTCTCCTCAAATCTGCTCCGCCAGTGGTTCTGGTCGCACGACCGCTTCGGGAATCTGCTCCCGTTACAAGAGCAGCCGATGTTTGCAGAGGATTGGCTGGGGTTGCGGACCCTGCACGAGAAGAAAAAGCTGCATTTCACCACCATGCCTGGCTCTCATGTAAGATTCCTAACAAAGAGTAAGTAGAATCATTACTTGTGACGTTAAAATGCATTTGCTACTTCTTTAATAGCATCAAGACCTGCACGCTCGTTGCCTGCACTCTATCCTGCTTTGTTGAGCTTCCCCTGCACGCACCCTTTCTATTCACACCCAGTATTATTCTTCTATCAACCCTTGCATTCATGTCGGTTACAACATGTTGTATATTTTCCATGCGTGCCTGATTGTGATTTATTTGTCAATGTGAATGAATGATATGTTTCAACCATGATCATGAATGTGATTTCTGCAGCCATGTGTATAATTTCCTTGACTCAATCGATAAGGATGAATGTCGTGTGAATCCATGTGTGTGAATGTTGTTTCTGCATCCATGTGTATGAATGTTATCTGCATCCATATGTATGAATGTTATTGATGCATCCATGTGCATAAATTCCTTGTCTGAATCCACGTGTACGATGAATGTTTGTATATGCATCCATTTGCAGGGCATCATCAACCCCTCGCTCTTTGCCCGTGAGTTTGTTTCCAAGTACCTCGTCCCCGAGCCAACTGAGGCAGCTGCGTGAAACTCTTCAGAAGTGACAAGCTGATGCGCATATCAGCCATGTGTAAAGACCTTCTATTGGCCCGAACTCTCACCATCTCGTTGGAGTTCCCCAACCAGCTGCTTCAAGCTCTGAGGCACAGCCCCAGCGTTTGTGCAGTTAGGCCATGCAGCAGGAAGCTAGCAGCCGCAGCCATTAGTTAGTGTTTGCCGGGAATAATAGAGCAATAGAGTTGGACCTAACAAATCTGTAGTAGATCATGGTGTTTGCAGATGCAGGATTGGAGATGCCGCCTCAGCATCTTCAGTAGCATTAGAAAATTTTGCTTAACTGAACTATGTGGTTAGGGGCCCTTGTGAATATTAGACCTGGTTCTAGGTCAAATTGTTGTAAGCCATTTGACAATGGTTCTGCAACCTATCATGGTGTTTTGTGCAACATTTTGCTCTTATCCTCTGCACACAACCTTTTCCCCTCTATTCTAGATCACTATTTTGCCAAACTATTGCAATTCGCTTGCCTAGTTAGTGTAATATTCATTGCAGTTGGAAATCTGCAGTACTAGCACCTCTATAGTCATGGATGCGTGATTGGCTAAAAGAATGCAAGGTGGCACATGTGGTGGCTGGTGTTCACAGCCTTGTGCCGACAATCGAAGTATTCCTAACGATAGTGCACAGAACACGTGTTTAGGGCTCTCATGTAAATGAGGATGAATGGGGACGTCGTTTGAATGCCAGGGTGGACAGTATGCGATCGACTTCACACGGTTGAACGTTCTAAACGATGGTTAGAAAGCTGTGTAACATGCACATGATTGGGGAAGACGCTTTCGTTCAACGTCGTTGTTTTGTGTTTTCAGATCGATCGCATGGCACGTGGTTCGGGTGTGGTTTCATTCAACTTCAATGCCCTAATGGTGCGCCTTTTTAGGCATCCACCGTCACAACAGGTGGTTCCGGTCTGGTGATGATCGAGGCGCGTTTGCGGAGGGGCTAGGCAGTCACATACGACACGATGCGCTATGTTGAATGCGACTTGGCCCCCCCTCGCACGTTTCGCGCACATGATGCGCTGTCCGTCTGTACGACGCCCAGCCACTCTCCTTGCGACCCACCGACTTCAGTTAAAGTCGCAGATGGGTGCAATCAGACGAATGACGATTTCCGTTTCAGTTCAGTACAGTGGACATTCGTCGCACAACGTGACTGTTCGCTGACACCTGTCGGTTCCAGCCGTCAGCTAGCCCATCCATTCACTCTCCGCCTCAATAGAACCGAACTTGACGGAGCGGCGCCACCTGCTGCACCCTCGAGGATGGACTATGGCGACGAGATGGAAGCGCGACGCGAAAAAACCACATCGAGGAGAGGGGGTTCAAGTCGAGAAGATTGTTACGTTTCAAATCGGTTAAATATGGTACTAGAAAATAATATAAGTTTAGATAGGTGTTGAGAGGCGAAAACCAGCAGGGAAGACCTTCTTCATGCCATCTTGGGAATGGGTGAGGTGAGAGCAAAAATATTACTAGGCGCGTATATCTCTAGGAAGAATTGGCGGGAGAGGAACCACTGGAGTTTGACGAACAGACATCGAGGAACTCACATCGATCTTTGAGCATCGGATTTTTGCTTAGCTCTCAAGTTCCATCGTCAAGTCTTGGGTAGCATATACGAACGAGAAACTGCTACCTGTCTACAGGAAAGGCTTACGAGTCAGGTTTGCTCGTGAGAAGACTGTTTTTTCTCTTACTTCCCCAGTAACTGTACAGATAAGGCATCCAGTGTCATTTTCCCGTGAAGCGACTCCCGTCTACGTTCCGTCAATTCGACGATTGACCAGCAGTCAGACGAACAAGTTTAGCAGCCGAACGAGTACAGCGGCAACAGAAGTACACATCATGGCCACTGGCATGTACATGGACACGCGGCTCCAGCAGCAGTTCTGGGGCTATGGCGGCTACTCGCAGCGCGATCTCCACGAGCCTCCTCCGCCGATCCCCAACCCGAGTCCCCAAATCGGGCGCCTCGCGCGTCCCCCGCTTCTCGTCATTCCGCCGATCGTTCCCGCTCCGCTCACCCCCACCCCAGTCGCGCTGATGCGGGAGATCGAGCGCTACAACCGGAAGAAGAACGCGGAGAGGGCGGAAAAACTAGCGGCGGATCGCCCCGCGGGTCCCCCCGTGCGTCCGCGCAGGCGGAGAGTTTGGGACGATATGTTATTCGACCTCCCCCCGACGCCCCCTCCCCGACGCGCGTCTGCTCCCGCCGCGCCGGTCACACACGTTGCTCCGTCAGAGCCGCTTCAGGTCATCACAGCTAGTATCGCGCCCGCGCCTAGCACTGCTAATACGGCGATTAGCAATGCTCCCGTACCTGTCGTTCGCACCGCTCCGTTGAAGCCGCTGAGGGAACTCAACGGCACGCTTCCACCGCCACTGCCGCTGACACTCTCCACATCAAACGTCGCATCGAACACGCTCGTTTCAGTGGACGGCAAGGCGGCGAGATCTCACAAGCTGTTACCCGTTTCTGCGAATCAACCTTCGTTCAGGGCGTGGCTGGGGAACGAAGAGAATGCGACGACGGCGACAGCCGTGCGACCGAGCGGCGCCTGCTGTGAAACAGCGTCGCATGTGTCGTCTGCGGAACTTCGCATTGATATATCGGCGCTTGGCGTTGCTGCTGCCGGTGCCACCGCCACAACTGGATTATCTTGTGCCGACGTGGGGAACGCCACGGCTCACACGTCACTTCAGGTCGGTTCGGTTGCCATCGCTATAGCCTGATTCGTTCCAGAGCGCGTGAAGGCCTGGTTACCACGGGTGAATTTCGCTGTGAAGCTATGACCAGACTTCGTTTTCTCAGTCAAGCACGGCTGCTCGGGGACTTGCCTTTGCTGCTTGGCCATTTTTCGGTGCTGCTTGCGCATGTGCCGCTAGCTGTGGCGAACTTCTTTCGAATCAGGTGTTCTCTGCGTGGCGTTCGCTGTACGCGGGTGAGGTGGTGCTTGAGACGCCCCTTGTCAAGGGTTATATCGGGGGTGAGCCACTTCCAAGGCGCCTCAAGCACCACCTCGTTTGCTCCTTCTCGTGCTGCACACACGATGCCCAGAAATAGTGTAGGGCTGATATGATCGGAGTAGCAATGGATCCAGAGTTAGTTTTAGCCTCTTCCCGACACTTTATACTCAGTCGGTGATGTATGTGCTGGATCAATGAAATCATTTTCCTGCCCATTCCTCCGTTGTAACTGCTGCCTACTCCTCCTCCTGCCGCTGCAGCAAAGAAGCGTCACAGGGAGCCGATGGCTTGCTCTGTCGACCTACAAGCCCTTGGCTCGCTCCTCTGCTCCTGCCTCTCCGCTCTGCATCTTCCCACGTTGGGGGTAAGCTCGAAGAGCCAAGTCTCAGAGGGTCAAAGCTGGAAGGAGGGAGAAGTGATGGCTGTACCTGCAGCTGTGATACCAACGGCAACAAGAGCAGCTGTGACGTCAACAGAGCTGAATCATATGCTGCTGGTGCAGGCGAGGGCACAGGATTGTGAGGAGCTGAGGGTGATAAAAGAGGAGGAAGAAGGCAAAGTTTCCGGTTGGGAAGAAATTCCGGTTTCTTTGCGCCTGCAACCCCAGCGTCCGCTGTCACCGCTTGCCCCACTGCGGTCCCCTGTATCAGCCGCCCCAATGATGTTCCAGTCATCGTTGATTCTACCTGGCTCTTTGCCATCTGAGAAGGCGTTGCATCCTGGCCGTTGGTGGAGCCCTTCGTCTGTTCTGGCTCCACATTCGCCTGCCTCTGACACTTCATCATTAGCGGGAAGGACTCCTTTCACAGAGGAAACGCGTTGAAGAAGGTCGAGTGGTCGCCAGACCTTGCGTTACATTGATCTGCCTTAGAACACACATTCGTTGAAAGGCGGTCACCGGATATGTTGGAAACAAGGTGAGGAGGACTGAGAGGGTCTGAAGTGGTGATAATGGTGATGCTGTGAGGTGCAGTGGTTGGGCCAATCCGACCAATAGTTGACCTCACTTTAGATAACATTTGAGGCGCTATACAAAGTTGATGTCTCTAGGTTCTGGAATCACTAGATTGATACGTTAGACTTACAAAAGCACACCTTTTGCTTCTAATATTGAGCAGTGCACTGTTTTTGCAATACAAGTGATAATGGTATTTGTCTTGCCAGTGTATTTCAAGCCACTATAGAGGAGTCATCGAAGGTGGAACTTCAAGTTGGATAATCCATCAAGCCACTTAGAGCTTCCAGTTGGAAGTATATCAGCCGTATACCGAGGATAATCTCCTCGCACTCACCACCTGACGAATTGCCACATCCAGTCTCTTTTGGCTCTCCCTTCCAGCCCTGCCACGTCAGCCATCTTCCCCATGATCGCGCATTCCCAACTTGCCGCAATCAGCGGCGGCGGCACCACAGCCAGCGCGACCATCCCGTGCCGCTTAGCGCGGCGGGATTCGCCTGGTATTGATCGCCGGCATCGGATCATTGGAGTCTCGACGCGGATTCCAGTGCATGTTAGAGCTCATTTCCCAAAGGCGATCCGGACGCTTTCAGTGCAAGCTCGAGCGCGAACCCTCCCTACCACCGATGAAGCTTCCGACTCAAACCCATCTTCATTTTCATTCCCGAAGCAGGCTAGCTTGGACGGCTCAGATTTCACGGTGCCGGAGCGTCTAGTAACGGATGGCCTCCTCTCGCGACGTTCTCTCGTTTCGCTCTCGTCCGCCGCACTTACCGCGACCTTGCTCGCACCGCCTTCCACGTCAGCTTCCCCGGAGTCCACGTCACTCTCCCTAGGCACTGCCGTCATCCCCCCGTGCCCTCCGGGATCCACGGTGGAGATTCAAATCGGCGATAACTGCGGTCTTGGAGTCGCGATTTACCCCGATTTCAGCTACAGCCCCGGCGGCGTCAAGGGGGGAGGCGGCTCGGGAACCGCGACGGATTTAAACGACGGGTCGGATCGCGTTGAGATAGTTTTTGACCCACAGACGCTGAACATCCCCCCGTTGCGGTACGATACGACGCGGTTCCTGGGGCTTCCGCTTCCCCCGCCGCTTAAGATTGAAATCGCTCCCGCGGCGCTAAGGGGCTACCTCGAGCGGTCGACTGGCAAGGTGGGTCTTCCTGGGATCGAGGAGATAATTTTGTGCTTTCTGGTTATTTCCTATGGCTTGGAAGCACGGAGATGCCCCCTATGGTCGCGGAGCTAAGGGGCTGCCTCGAGAGGTCGACTGGCAAGGCAAGGTGTGCACTGGAAGCCCGGAAATGTTCCCAGAGTTCGTTTGTAAACTCCCAAGGAATGGGTCTATAGGTGCTGTATTGTGGTGGAGGTGAATGGATTGGTAGAGATGAGGATTGTAATGGAGAGGGGAGTTTGGTGTAATGAAGGGAGAGGGGGTGTAATCAAGGGAGACTGAGGGGGAGTTTGTAGCAGAGGAAAAGGGAGGGAAGGGGAAAGGGTGTTGCTTTGGGGGTGTGGGGTATAACATGGTAGTTGGTTTGACTCAAAAGGAAGCAAGGGATTTCATGAGGATAAGGCTGCACTGCATCGAAGAATGGGGGTTATTTACATGAGCAGCTTTATCATCTTCCTCTCCTTTCCCTTATCGTACCTCCATTTTCCACACACCCCTCTTTCAGGTGGAGCTTACCTTCATCTCTAAATTCTTCGTCACAGCAGGACCCATCTACACTGCACCACCGCTTACTGTAGAAACAATATTAACCACTGAAAACTCTTCTGGGCCCATGCGCTCGGCAAAAGGCGCAAGGCTTGACGCTTCTGGGAAATGTACCCTTGTGGGAGTAGCACGTGTGCCTCCTGTGAACGACTCTTTCCTGGATACTTTCTTATTACTCCCCACCGACGTTCTCGCCTTTTTGCCAGCGGAGATTAGGTTTAAGCCGGTAGCTAGTGCATAAACTGCATAGCTTGTACCGTAGGTTTTGCGTGTATCTTACCTAAATGTACACTTGGGATCGAAATGGAATGTGTAAGTCTTACTCTTGAAGAAGTGTATTGCAGTGTACCAACGCCGACAACTAAGGTAACGGTCCTAACCGAATTACAACTCTCGACGCGCGAACTGAACAGTAACCGTTTTCCTCGCCTCACTTTTCAACCAAACCAGCCTTGGAGACCAGGTACGACGCGCAGCGGGCACGAGCTTCTGGTGCATTTCTCTCGGTAAAATCACTCTCGCCACTCATCCAAACCTCACAAGCAGCTTCGTATTTGTACCCAACCAAATGGCAGCAAATTTCACCTTGTCTTGCCTTGCTGTACCGTTACTCCTCCCCGTCTTTCTCCATCTCTTTGAATCGCTTTGCAATGTCATCGATGTTACCGCAGCCATGGATTTCTTTGGCAAAGAACTATCAACTGACTGAATTGAACAACGGAGAAAATAGAAGATGGGCTGTGTACCAAGTCGGCATTTCATCAGCTAAGATCGAGCACATAAGTTTTTTTTCTCAGGGAAACCATACCACTACCACGTATAGCTTACGCGGAGAGAATCCATCCAGCATGTCGGTCCTAGGTCCTCCTTGCGATTAGCGGTGTGCGGAGCACTGCGGCCGGGGAGCAATGCGAAGCAGCACGCGCTTTGATGCCTTTCGCACCTGGCACTCATATAGTCTTGAAGGCTGATAGTTCCTAAAGTTGGTTGTTCAACAGTTTCTCGCTCGGGAAGCGTTTAGAGAGTTTATTTCCGTGCTGCTTTCGTCCTTTCGGCTTACGGTTCCGGTGACTTCCAGTGTCTTCCGGTGTCTTTCGGTTCCGGTGTATTAGCGGATGATATTGCGAGCGACTCACCGCCATGCATAAGGTACGCAGGATCGTGGAGCCAACGTGGAACGATCGTGGAGCAAGGTACCATTGGAACGATCGCGCAGGATCGTTGAGCCATTTTGTCCTTTGGCTTCTCCGCTTCACGTTCCAACGGCACCTTGCTCTCAATCGTTCGCATTGTAGTCTTCTTGTCTGCACTTGACTCACTGCATCGATGAAAATGCGCTGGACTTTTGAGACCACTCCCAAGGATCTCTTTTTAGCCCATTATATTTAAATCGCTAGTGGCTGCTTGTAGGGCTGCGAGCATCCTCTTAAGGTCCTGAAACTCTCCGCTAGCCACCCCGCGAGCTCGTTAATCTCCGCGTGTATGGCTGGCTGCTTGTTCCCCGTCGTCGTTTAGCTGCTTACTTGTGTCGACTCAGAGAGTTGTCCCTTTCTCGTCTACCAGGATAGTCGACATGACAACGATGTTTGAATCGAGTAAAAAAAAGAACGCGGCTCGTCTTTTAAGTTCACTCAAGTATATCTTCCTTTCTCGTCCGCCAGGATACGATTTTTGGGGCGCCTCAAACAACGGCCTTCTCGAGAAATATTATTCCCTCTTGAAGCGCCTCAAGTGCGTCGAATGAAAAATGTTATTCCCTCTTCATCCCTCAGGATACTCGGCAACGCCCTGGTCCCGTCCGAGGCGGGCCCGGCAACAATTCCTGGGACGAAGATGACGACATGCCACGTGCGCTTCCCTCTCTTCCACATCATCAGCCACGTCAGCTTCTCCGTCCCGAACAGCAGCAACAGCAGCAGCAACAGCAGCAGCAGCAGCAGCAGCAGCAGCAGCAGAAACTGCAGCAGACACGTCAGGCTCCCCCGATACAGCCACGCAGACCCCAGGCTTCGTTAGAAGAACTTCCGCCCTCCCGCGGAAAGCAAAACTCTAGAGACGCGTACGACCCGGATGAACAGTACGAACCGCGTTACTCGAACCAGCGTGATTCGCGGGATACCAGGGAGCAACAACCGTACGATCGGAACAACTGGCAAAGAAACCCGCCGGTGCCAGCTCAGCAGCGGCAAAGCGGCGGCGGCTCGGTTCCGTACAGGCGTCCGGTCCCCCAGCCAGAGTCTGAAACGGAAACTGAAACGGAGGGGGAGGCTGAGACGGAAACGGAATTCGAGACGGAAGTTGAGACGGAAGTAGAGACGGAAGTTGAAACAGAGGTCGAAACAGAGGCGGAAACAGAGGTGGAGGAGACGGAAACGGAATTTGAGGCGGAGGAGGTAGAGGAGGAGGAAACGGAAGTGGAGGAGGAAGGGGAGGGGGAAGGAGAGGGAGAGGAGGAGGCGGAGGAGGAGGATAAGGAGAACATTTTGGAGCAAGTATCGGAGCTGTTGAGTCAGGTGAGCAAGTTGGTGAATGATCAAGTCAAGGTCAAAGAGGGGTTGAGGAGGGTTCAGTTCAACAGGAATTTGTGGCAATGATCGCAACAGGGCTCCATGGTAAACTAGATAAATGCTTGCCGGAGGTTGACCTGCTGCTGAACGTGAGGAAGGTGCTGGCGGAGGTGGGGGGTGAAAGGGTGGGGGAAAAGGAGTAACCCCACAACCCTCTTCTATTGCTCTTCCCCTCCCTTCCTCCCTCAGATCGAGGCGATAATTGCAGCAGGGCCACACGGCAAGCTAGATGAGTACCTGCCAGTGGTTGACCTGCTGCTGAACGTCAGAAAGGAGCTGGCGGAGGTGGGGCAGGAAGGAGTAACCCCACAACCCTCTTCGAATGCTCTTCCCCTCCCTCCCTTCCTCCCTCTCAGATTGAGGCGATGATTGCAGCAGGGCCCCATGGGAAACTAGACGAGTACCTCCCAGTGGTTGATCTGCTGCTGAACGTGCGGAAGGTGCTGGCGGAGGTGGGGGAGAAGGAGTCGGGGCGCCGGGCGGACATGCTGCTGCGGACTGCCATGGAGGACTTGGACTACGAACTAAGAGACATTCTTAAGCGGCGCAGGTGAGAGTTTGCTGGTTTAGCGACGAGAGTGTGAGAAAAAGGGTAAGTAGTGCTGTGCCAGGGAGGGCGGCCATGCTGCTGCGGACTGCCATGGAGGATCTGGACTAAGAATTAAGAGACATTCTTAAGAGGCGCAGGGGAGGAGGTGTTAAGTCAGGAGTTGAGTGAGAGCTGGCAGGCAGGGTACTCTATTTGGATTACTATTTGCTTGCTGGTCAAGCAAGCCTCTACCCGCTTCAGTGCAGACGAGCTGAGCAGACTGTTCCAGGCGGAGTTCCTTTCCTGCACGTGCATCCTTTTCCTCCCCCCACATGGCCCTTCCCTCCTCTCCTGTGCCTTCTTCCCGTATCCCCCTCCTACCTCAATCCCCCTTGCCTTTTCCCCAGCAAGCAGGCTTCTGCCCGCTTCAGTGTAGACGAGCTCAAGAGGCTGTTCCAGGCGGAGTTCCTGCATGTGCTTCCTTTTCCCTCACCCTCCCCCACCCACCCCCTGTGCCCGTCTCCCACGTTTCCCCCCCAGCAAGCAAGCCTCTGCGCGTTTTTCAGTGGACGAGCTCAAGAGGCTGTTTCAAGCGGAGTTAGTGCGCAGCGCATGCTTCCTCTCCGCCCCTCCCCACACCCTCCCCCACTCCCCCCCCCCCCCCACCCCCCCTTCCCGTCTTCCGCTTTCCTTTTCCCCCAGCAAGCAGGCATCCGCGCGTTTTTCAGTGGACGAGCTCAAGAGGTTATTCCAGGCGGAGTTAGTGCACGTCTTTGCCCCTCCTCACCTCACCCCCCCCCTCTCTCCCCCTTTCTTCCCTGCCCTTCCCCCCAGCAAGCAAGCGTCCGCCCGCTTCAGTGTAGACGAGCTGAAGAGGCTGTTCCAGGCGGAGTTCCTGCACGTGGGGAGTGGGGATTCCGCAGGGGAGGAAGGGGAGGAGAAGGGGGAGGGGCGGGAGGGGCGGGGGGGCAGAGAGGGGAGAGGAGGGGCGGATGGGGAGGATGAGGGACTTTTGAGTCCAGGGGAAAGGGGGGAGGCGAGGGGCGAGGGAAGGGGGGGGAGGAGGGAGGGGAGAAAAGAAGGGGACTTGGAAGGGGACGAGAAGGCTGGTGGGGAAGGTGAGGAGGAGGAGGGGAGGAGGAAGGAGAGGAGGAAGGTTCCTGAGCTGTTTCCTGTGAGCACGGGGCGGTGGTTGAATGAGGCGGCTGGGAGGATGGTGCAAGGAGGGGCGGGAGGAAAGTGCGTGGAAGCTTACAGGTCTGTGCGCGTGGAGGCAGTTAAAGCCCTGATGGATGAACTGAGGCTGGAGGATGTGCTGAGTCCCGGGGTGATTCATGAAGCGCCGTGGAGAGTGCTTGAGCAGGCTTCCAAGGAGTGGGTGCAGGCGGCTTATATCATTGTGAGTCTCCCTGCAGAATCCCACAAGAAAGGGGTGATTCGCAAGGCACAAGGCACTGTGGAGGGTGCTGAAGAAGGCTTCAAGGGAATAAGTGCAGGCCGTTTCTATCATTGTAAGTCTGATATACTGTGAGGGAGGTGGGTAGGTTCACGAGGCTCGTTGGCGAGTGCTGGAGCAGGCATCAGAGAAATGGGTTGATTGAACTTTTGAGAATTCTCAGAAGTTCAATCAACAGTGCTGGAGCAGGCATTAGAGATATGCTTGCCACGTGTAAACAGAGATGTTTTGAGACGTCTCAAAACATCTCTGTTTACACACAATCAGCAGTGCTGGAGTAGGCATTAGAGAAATGGTTGAAATGGATCAGGCTGCTTATATCATCGTAAGCCCCTTCCCCATTGCACTCCATGCCCTATTGGTCTCCTCGTTTCATGCAGGGGGCGTTGATAATCCCCATGGAGCATCAGACGGCCAACGAGGCTTGGAGGGGCATGGATGGATGGACACACAGAGGCAGGAGGTGCAAAAGTTATGTATGTGTCTCTGATGCCCTGACTTCCCCCACTGACCCCTGACCATGCCCCTTTGGTGCAGGGAGCACTGATAATCCCCATGGAGCACCAAACGGCCAACAGGGCTTGGAAGGGGACGGATGAATAGACAGAGGGGAGGGAGAGGTGCTGTGGGTGAGTATTTACCTTCCTATTGCACTCCCTTCCCTGTTGGTCTCCTCGTTTTGCACAGGGAGCGTTGATAATCCCCATGGAGCACCAGACGGCCAACGAGGCTTGGAAGGGCATGGACACTCAGAGGCGTGCCGCCCTAAGGAGCGTGCTGGAGGACGGCGGCGTCGGGCGGCGGGTTTTGTTTCTAGCGGACGTGCTGAGGGCCATCGTATCACGGCGGATGGCAGAGCAGCTGTTTTCATTGCTGGATGCATATCAAGTGGTGCAAGAGATCATGCCGGAGGTATGTTACTGGACTGTAGATGGTGTGACTTTAGGGCTGAAAAGTGTGTGAATGGCAGAACAGCTGTTCTCGCTGCTGGATGCCTATCAAGTGGTGCAAGAAATCATGCCCGAGGTGTGTGTGTGGGGGTATGGGTTTGCTCTGCATATGGGTGTGTGGCCCCTGTTGCACTGCGTGTGGGTGTGCATGTGGTGTGTAGCAGCGGATGGCAGAACAGCTGTTCTCGCTGCTAGACGCTTATCAAGTGGTGCAAGAGATCGTGCCGGAGGTATGTTACTGGACTGTAGATGGTGTGACTGTTGGTGACGTGATGTGACTGTAAGGGTTGAGAAGCGTGTGAATGTAAGGGCAGAGGAGCTGTTTTCGTTGCTGGACGCTTACTAAGTGGTTCAAGAGATTATGCCAATGTCTCTCCCCTCTCCCATCTCTCAGCCCATGCCCTTGTGTATGTAACCGTCGCTCTGCACATGCATGCACCCCCTGTGCTTACACACCCCATTCTCTCTTCCAAAATTCTTCTCCCCTCTCCCAGCTCGCTGCCACATTTCAGGACCTCAAGGTCAGCAACGTGTGGGGGGCGTGTGAGGGCCTGCCGATGCTGCTGGGGCGAGCAGCAGTTGTGACGTCTCGCTTACAGCGCCTCAGGCTTTCCCCTACATTCTATCCAGAGTATTCCCACACCCCTCTTCTTTGCCTATGTCTGTCCTGTCTCCCTCTCCCAGCTCGCTGCCACATTTCAGGACCTCAAGGTCAGCAATGTGTGGGGGGCGTGTGAGGGCCTGCCGCTGCTGCTGGGGCGAGCAGTGGCAGCATGCTTCCAGCGCCTCAAGCTCTTACTGGAGGACTCTGCTGCTTCTAATCTCGCTGATGCTATGCGGAAACCCGTTCCCGCCAAGAAAGCAGCCCTGAGGTGAGTGGAAGCGTTGCAGGGGAGACTGGTGAATGAGGTACGTGCTGTTTGTATGGCGGTGGCGGGAGCAGTGGCAGCGTGCTTCCAGCAGCGCCTCAAGCTCTTGCTTGAGGACTCTGCAGCTTCTAACCTCGCTGATGCCATGCAGAAACCAGTTCCTGCCAAGAAGGCAGCCTTGAGGTGAGTATCAGTCCTGGTTAATGCCTGCAGTGGTGAGAGCAGCAGCGGCAGCAGCAGCAGCAGCAGCAGCAGCAAAGGCAGCGTGCTTCCAGTGCCTACAACTCTTACTGGAAGACTCTGCAGCTTCTAAACTCGCTGACGCCATGCGGAAACCTGTTCCTGCCAAGAAGGCAGCCCTGAAGTGAGTGGTAGGGGCAGGGGAGAGTGGTGAACGAGGTAAGCGCCGTTTGAATGACGGAAGCACTAGCACCAGCGTGCTTCCAGCGCCTCAAGCGACTTCGTGAGGACTCTGCTGCTTCGAATCTTGCTGATCTGATGCCATGCGCAGCCTGTTCCTGCCAAGTTCTGTGATAAGTCTTGTGCACACATGTCACAGAGGTGACTTTTGAGTCGACTCAAAAGTCACCTAGTTCTGAGATCATGCCTGATAAGTCTTGTGCACACATGTCACAACCGTCCCTTTACCCTTGCTCGCCCTTGTTCCCCTTCGAATCTCTGCTCTGCCCTCTTATTCAGTTTCCTCACTCGCGGCGCCATCAGCAACAGCAGCAACCCTTTTCTCCCTGTTCTGCTGTCCTTCCCCCAGTTTCCTCACTCGCAGCGCCACCAGCAACAGCAACACGGCAGTAGCACCACCAGACAAGTCGGTTTATGAGATCTCAAATGTTGCACCCATCCCCACCCCACTGGGCCCACGCCCTTTCTGTCCTACCCCTCAGCTTTCTCACGCGCAGTGCCACCAGCAACAGCAGCACGGCGGTGGCACCAGACGAGTCGGTTTATGAGATTGTGCCGCGAGGGGGCGCTGTGGATTCGATCACGAGCTATGTTGCGAATTACATCCGCAGCTACATGCAACGGTGCGCGGGGGTTTGTGGGGGTTAGAAAGGGTTGAGTGGGACAGGATAGGGGGTGTTGTGGACTCGATCATGAGCTACGTTGCCAACCACATTCGCAGCTACATGCAGCGGTGAGCGTGGTGGGGGGGAAAGGGGGTGGGGGATGGGAGTAATGGTAAGCCAAGGAACGGAGAGGTGAGTGCTGAGAAGGGGTGCTGTGGACTCAATCACGAGCTATGTTGCCAACTATATCCGCAGCTGCATGCAACGGTGCGTGGGAGTAGGGGGGGTGAGGAGGGGCAGGACTGAGTGAGGGTAGGGGGGGCAGAAGTGGGGGTGAGTGGAAAGAGAGGGGGGCTGTGGACTCAATTACGAGCTACGTTGACAACTATATCCGCAGCTACATGCAACTGTGCATGGGACTGAGGGGGGGAGGGGGAGGAAGAGTGAATGAGAGCAGGGGACAAAAGGACAAGTGCTGTGGAGAGGGGGGTTAGTGGAAGGGGGGGGGCTGTGGGCTGTGGAAAGTACAAATAACAGGATGAGCTAGACGAAGACAATAACAGGGAACACAAGGACAAGAACTGTGGACAAGGTAGTTGTTTCCCTACCCCATGTTCCTCCTTCCCTACTTACCTTCCCATTGTCCCCATTGCTCCCATTTTACCTGCACGGGCAAGGACAGTGCAGCTATGTTGACTCCCTCACCTCCCTCCCTGTTCTCCCTTCTCGAGACCCACGCACTTGACGACCTCTGCTTTCCCTTTCGTTGTCTTCTTCTTCTTTCTTCCCCTCCCAACCCCAACCCACCTGCACATGCAAGGCAGACGAAGATACATTGATTCCTCACGTCAATATTCTCTCTCCTTAAGCCCATCCAGTCCAAGACCCCAGCTCCCTCACAGCACACATTTCAACTTATTATCCTTCCACCCCTCCCTTCCTCCCTTGCCGCTTTCCTCCTTTCCCTCTCAAACCCCACCTGAGCAGGCAAGGAAGGAGAAGCTACGTGGATTCCCTCACATCTCTCTTCTCTCTTCTTGAGGCTCATCCAGACGAAGACCCCAGCTCCCTCACAGCAGATTTTGCCCTCCTCTCTCTCCCCGCCTCCTCCTCCCTCTCCCCTCTCGCCTCCTCCAATCCGATCGCTGCTGCTGCCGCCGCCGCCACCATGAACGCCACGTCAGCATCTGCCATGTCAGCAAACGGGAGGGCGCCAGGTGTCGGGAGGAGCCTGGAGAGCGAGACAGCTCAGCTGGTGATGGCTCTAAGGAGGAACCTAGAGATTAGAGCAAGGCTCTACCCAGAGGAGTTACAGCAGCTCTTTCCTATGAACAACCTTAACTATCTTGTCAAGTCCATGTGAGTTGGGTGATGTTTTTCTTCAAGCTGTCTAGACATTGCCCACTCCAGTTGACAAATATTTTTTAAGGCTTTTGACTTGACTGTTTTTTACCTGGTTTTTATCTCTTTTTTTCTTTCTTTTTTTTACTCGGGCAGGAACGACTGGCACGGGTGGCACGCACAGGGCATTGAAAAGAACTTGTCTGCTGTGAGAAGGTATGCCATTGCCGCTGTGCTGTATGAATTGCATGGCTGCAATAAGTGGTGTTAATTCAGTTGATTGAAAACACGTGTTCCAAAAGAGAGCTATAGCAAGCTGTGGTGCGGAGCAGTTCAGAGCGGAAGCATATTGCCGAACATTGAAAAGAACCTGTCTGCTATGAGAAGGTATGCCGCTGCCAGTGCTGGCAGAGAGTCATGGTGGCTCGGAGAGGTATGTCTGCAGATTCGGGTGCAGAGCGGTTCAGAGTGGTAGCACATACAGGTATGCCGCTGCTGCTAGCTGGGATGTGTGGCCGCAGAAGAGGGTTGGGTGGAATGTGGTTCAGAGCAGTTCAATCAGCCTCCTTCCCTCCTCATTCTATATATTGAGTGTGGTGCAGAGTGGTGCAGACTTCTTACCAGACCGAGTGGTGATGGAGGAGAAGAGGGTGGTCCAGACTGCTTCAGCATTCTTCCCTCTCCTGTGTGGTATCACACCCGTTCCCTCTTCTTCTCCCACCGGGGAGGGCGCCAAGGATCTCATGGTAGTGCTAGCAGACCTGGATGACGACTGGGTAGTGGCAGAGTGCGGTTCAGAGTGGTGCAGCCTTAATACCTCTTGTTTCCTTACGTTTCCCTCCTTTCAACCACCAGGGAGGGTGCCAAGGATCTCATGGTGGCACTGGCAGACCTGCATGATGACCGTGTGGTGGAGAGTGGTGCAGAGCAGTGCAGACCTGTTCAATCTCCCTCCCTCTCCCCTCACCCACCAGGGAGGGCGCCAAGGATCTCATGGTGGCACTGGCAGACCTGCATGACGACTGAGTGGTAGTAGCGTGCGGTGCAGCGTGGTAGAGTGTGGTGCAGCAGACTTCTTCCCTCTCACTCCCGTGAAACCCCCACCAGGGAGGGCTCCAAAGACCTCATGGTGGCTTTGGCAGACCTGCATGACGCCCGGGTGTTGGTTGACTGCGGTGCAGAATGGTTCAGCATTCTTTTCTCCCGTTTCCCCCTTTCACCACCAGGGAGAGCGCCAAGGATCTCATAGTGGCGCTGGCAGACCTGCATGATGACCGTGTGGTGGAGAGTGGTTCAGAGCAGTGCAGATCTGTTCAGTCTCCCTCCCTCTCCCCTCACCCACCAGGGAGGGCGCCAAGGATCTCATGGTGGCGCTAGCAGACCTGCATGACGACCGAGTGGTGGTAGAGTGCGGTTCAGAGTGGTGCAGCCTTCATACCTCTTGTTTCCTTGCGTTTCCCTCCTTTCAACCACCAGGGAGGGCGCCAAGGACCTCATGGTGGCTGGCACTGGCAGACCTGCATGACGACCGGGTGGTGATGGAGGATATTGCAGAGCAGTGTAGATTCGTTCAGCCTCCCTCCCTCTCCCCCTCTCTCCTTCACCCACCAGGGAGGGTGCCATGAACCTCATGGTGGCTGGCGCTGGCAGACAGACCTGCATGACGACCAGGTGGTGATGGAGGATAGTGGTACACACTGGTTCAGCCTCCTTCCCTCGCCCTTCTGGTATCCTTCGCTATCAGGGAGGGCGCCAAGGACCTCATGGTGGTGCTGGCAGACCTGCATGACGACCGAGTGGTGGTAGAGTGCAGTGCAGAGTGGTGACATGTGGTTCAGCATACTTTTCTTCCCTCTCCTCCCATTGATCATCAGGGAGGGTGCCAAGGACCTCATGGTGGCGTTAGCAGACCTGCATGACGACAGAGTGGTGCAGCAGCATGCAGGGGCTTTCCAGTCTCTCGCCCTGCTCAAGGTGAGACAGACGGGGGCACTCAAGGTGAGACTGGGACACGCTCGTAAAGCAACCTTTCCAAACGGGGTTCAGCTGAGTCGTGTCGTGCGGGCCTGGCACATCGGCAAGTGGCGTTAGCAGACCTGCATGACGACCGAGTGGTGGTAGAGTGCGGTTCAGAGTGGTGCAGCAGCATGCAGGAGCTTTCCAGTCTCTCTCCCTGCTCAAGGTGAGACGGGTGCGTGCATGCCATTTCCTCCCTCTAAACCCTCTCTCTTCATACGAGCTGGTTTTTGAGAATTCTCATAAATCTGTCCGACTGTACCTCATTGCATCGAGGTGGCTTTTGAGTCGACTAAAAAAAAAACCGTCCGACTGTACCTCATTGCATCGCCCCACCCCATCAGGTCATGACGGCCATGAGCACCAGTGAGAGGATTCTCGATGCAATGAGGTTTTTGAGCACCAGTCGGACAGGTTCTTAATGCATGACCTCATTGCATCGTCGCCCCACCCCATCAGGTCATGACGGCCATGAGCACCAGTGAGGATGCAGTGCAGCCATCCATGCACTCGTTTCGTTCACATCCTCCCCTCTCATCCTCCCCCCAACCCCTTCCCCCCTCCTACCCACCTCTTCACTCCCCCTCTTCCACTGTGCTACCCGCCTCTCTTCATACCCATCCCTGCTGGTTTCATCCCATCAGGTCATGGCGGCTCTGAGCACCAACGAGGATGCAGTTCAGCTACCCACTCACTCGTTTTCCCATTCGTGCTTCTACTATGTGCATTGAGGTCATGACTACCGTGAGTGAGCCACCACTGCATCCCACTCCCTTCTACCCCATCACCCCATCAGGTCATGACGGCCCTGAGCACCAATGAGGATGCGGTTCAGCCAACACACAGAACTGCTGCGGATTATGTCAAGGCAGAGATGCAACGGTGAGATTACATGTGACATGTAACGCTGGGATGACATGTAACGCTGGGATGACATGTAACGTTGAGATGACATGTAACGTTGAGATGACATGTATCTGTCAGACAACACCTTTTGGTGAGCGTTCAGTGCGATGGACGGGTTGATGAGCAACATGACATGTAAAACCCCTCTGTGCACTCTTGAAAGGATTCAATGTTTGCATCTGCGGAGCTCTCATTTGCGGAGCTCTCACTTGCAGAGCTCTGAAAGAGGCAAAGGGATTGGGCCACTCCTTGAGGGGCTGAGCTCTATGGGTGCCTCTGGATCATCCTGACGATGTGCTAATATGAATGCCTCAATCATCGTCCCTCAACGCGCAGTCTGAAGAGGTTCAACTCGGCGTTTGAGGAGCTCCAAGAGAGGCAGAGGCACTGGACCATCCCTGATGATGGGCTGAGGCGGAAGATTCGGGCCAAGTGGGCCACGAGCATCAAGGAGCGATACAGAAAGATGCTGCTGCCATACTGGTGGGTGTGGGAGGGAGAAGAGTGTGTGTGGGAGGGAGGAGTGTGTGTGGGAGAGAGTGTTATTATGTAAATTGATGCGTATCCGTGTGAGCTAATTGGTGCTTTTGCCTGTTCTCATGAGCAATTGCTGTGTTTGTGTGTGTGTGTTTTCCTCGATACGTCCCCACCCCATACTCCACACCAATATGCCCTTGTACATGGTTACGCCTTGCAGGGATGACTTGACATCATGCAAGTTCTATGCGTTTACACCAGAAAGAGTAGAAGAAATCATTCAGCACACTTTCTTCATGGACCCTTCTGAATGAACACTGATTTGTTTTTCACTCTTAACCAGCATAAAATATTAAATAGAATGTGTAATTATGTTCTGTTGCAACATGAATCTAGTATCGCATCATCTGAATTCCTCTCTTGTCTGGGATTCCCTCTTCCCAGGGTTTCCCGCTATTTTGCAAACGCGCATCGGTGTCGCGACTCGCGATCAACCTGGCACACATAGTATGATGCTCAGCCCTTGCCAATTTGGTTCGGATTTGGCTGTGCTTTGGTTCCCAACAGCTACCTTTCCCACTTCTGCAGGAACACTAGACCATTTCATCTCGACCTCTTTAGTTCCAACCGTGCTTTACTCATGATTGTCAGATGCAGTACTTGTATTGTTTTGTGCAGTGCCAGTTATTAGCATTTCGTGTGCCATTGGAATCCATACATCCTATTAACGGCCCAGAAGCCACTCGGATGGAGCTTACGCAATGCGTTGCGGTCACCAGCATTAAGAGAGGTCAATCGAATCTGGGTATTTTCACGCGTGGTACGTACAATATTTGATCGCTTCGGCAGAATTTTTTCTCAAACTCTGCTCCTCGTGAATCACAATGTTGGAAACTTTTCGAGTTTCACGGCTAGCTCACAAACCGATCCCTTTCAAGGCGTCGCTTACTTGAACATAGAGTAAGCCACGCACCAGCAAGATCTGTATACATCGAGGTTGAAGTTGTAAATTGCAAATCGAGAGGTACGTGCTTGGCGGTTTGATTAAGGCAAAGGCATGGCTGAGAGGAACCTGCAGTCGTTCAGAGGTTGGGGTGGGCATGCCTTGCGTGTGGGGGCTTGCATGTCAGGGGTTTCGTGTAAGGGCTTTCTTACCAGGACTTCAAAATCTCGAACTATCGGTCTTGTGAGGGTTTGTGAGGCTTGTTCAAGGTTAGTACTGGAATTGATGCAGAGCTAGATTTACTTTTAAATAGACTAAAAAGAAGACTTGTGTTGTGGTCATGGTTTACTGAAAGAAATGTTTCTTCCGCGAGTGAAACATACTGAGACAATTTCACAGCAGGTTCATGAAAGGTGCACAGAATGTTTACAGAAGATTCACCAAGCAGTCCTTACATGGCCTCCTCCCATCCTCCTCCCTCCCTCATTCAATTATGTACATACATCATCACATATGCTACAGATCACACCAGCCCAGCCACCACAAAGCCATAGCGAAGCTCCAGCCATTCATCCTTCCACACATCCTTTCATGCGTCCTCGACGCATCAAAGTTGTGTCCTCAGCCTTATTGAGTGACTCGGTTCTTTCTATATTTTCCCTTCCTCGGATTCTCGCAAGTCCAACTCCCTTGCAGGGTTCCAAAGTTGTGATTCCCAAGAGGAGACTTGAAAGCCTCGACTCAAAAGTCACCCCCTACCCTCTCAGCGGCTTGTCTACGGGTCAATTGGGAGACCAATGGGAACATCAATGGGAATTCCGATGCGACGCTTGCAGCAGCGCGGGCCAGTCTTAGCCGAGTAGCAGCAGCGGGGAGGTTCAGTATCGGATCCCTGGCAGCACTGCCGGCCACAGCAATAACTGCCAGTCACCTCCCCGTTATAGTCAATCCCAGGACAGCATTCCCCGCCTCTCACGCCGGGGATGCTGCAGCACTGGGGATTTAACTCATCATTGCAGCACACGCTTCCGCCGCAGCAGGAGGATTTTTTCGGGCAGCCACACTGCCCGCCGCAGCATTTCACGCCGCCCGGGCAGCACTTGCCGTTGCAGCAGGTGGAGCCGGGTTCGCAGCATTTGCCGTTGCAGCAGGTGGTGCCGTGCTTGCAGCAGGTGCCGCCGCAGCAGTAGCTGGTGCGGGTGCTGCAGCAGGTGCCAGCAGTGGTGGGATCGCTTTTGGGAGACGGCAGGCAGCAGGTGAGCCCTATGGATTCGCCTCCCAGGCAGCACTTTCCGCCACAGCAACGGGGGGAGTTGCCCTGAGGCACAAGAAGGAGAGGTATGACATAGAGGGAGAAAACAGAGGGTTTGAACATGTAGGTTAGCAAGTCGGATTGGGTCGAGTTTAGAGTTGCTGGTGGGCGACGGCAGGCAGCACGTGAGGCCCATGGACTCGCCTCCCAGGCAACACTGGCCGCCACAGCAACGCGGTGAGTTTCCCTGCGAAAATGGGAAGGAGGATGGAGGAGAGAGGGAAGGCACGGAGTGAGACGATAGACCTTTCCAGTTATTCAGACGGCAAGCAACAGGTGACGCCTATGGACTCGCCTCCCAGGCAACACTGGCCGCCACTACAACGCGGTGAGATTTCCTGAAAAACGGGGGAAGAGGTATGGCAGAGAGGGAGAGAATAGAGGAGTGGAGATGAAGTAAGGTCAGGGGTCTTCGAGATGACTCAAGGGGCGCTGGTGGGAGACGGCAGGCAGCAGGTAGGCCCTATGGACTCTCCTCCCAGGTAGCACTGGCCACCACAGCAGCTCGGTGAGTTTCCCTGCAAAATCGGGAAGGAGGATGGGGGAAAGAGGGAAGACACGGAGTGAGACGATAGACCTTTCCACTTACTTAGATGGCAGGCAACAGGTGAGCCCTATGGATTCGCATCTCTGGCAACACTGACAGCAACCCAAGGAGCTTTCGTGGGGAAGGGAAAGAAGAGGTATGGAAGAAAAGAAGTGAAATTGCAAGTAGCTTTTAGAAAAGAGGGCGTGTCACAATAGGGCAAACCTGGAATGGGCTGGGCAGGAATTTCAAGCCCAAGTGGAGATTACATGACGATGTTAGGGACCGATGAATGCGTGCGGTGTTTTGAGACGTCTCAAAACACTTCTTCATGAGTGGAGTGACGTGCACACCAAAAACAGCAACTCTCATTGCTGTGAATCGTTGAAGCTCCCGAAATTCCCACAAGGCAGCAGCTCCCATTGCAATGAACCTTTGCAATGAATCTTTGAATATAAGCTGATGTGGTGAACTTACAAGACAGCAACTCCCGTTGCAATAGATCTGGGGTCCCCAGCACCCAAACTGGGGCTTTGCAGTGTCTACTGAGCTATCCTCGAGCATCCAAGGGCACGGTTGACGTGGCGGCTTGCATGGAAGGAGGACGGGGTCAACGGGGTCAACGGGGTCAATGGGGTCAATGGGTTCGCTGCATCCGCCAAAGCGCTTGCAGATGGGGTCGGGGAACTTGCCAAAGATCACCCGCCTTGGTGCTGCAGAATCCTCGTTTGAGAGAATCTCGTTTGTAGCAGGTTCGCCTGCTGCTGCTGTGGTGGTAGCTGCAGCATGATCAGTGGACGAAGATTCTGCAAGACTAGAGTGATGGGGAGAAGCAAACGAGCTGGTGAGAGCAGACGAGAGGAGAAGAAAGGCTGAAAGGACTTGGAAGAAGGAAGCCATTGCTGCTGAAGAGCTGAACAGCACTCGAGCTAATCACTTGGGAGTCCTGGAATGTGCTCAGAACTTGTTGAGATTTATAGCCACATGCACTGCTTCAGCTTGAATTTGTTGCGGCAGTCTCTGTGGGCTGGAACGGCGCCGCCAAATTCAGTCAGTCCGCGGGGAATGAGTGCGTTTGAGTGCGGTTCGATGGATGTCGATTTTACAGTATGGATTGTGTCAGGCGAGGATTCTTGTGGCACTGGGAGGTTCCTATTGGCTGAACGGAAGACAACGAAGCGAGGACGGGCACATCAGCTGCACGGAGGTTACCAAGGGCTGGGGGATGGCCCAATGCGTGTTTACACGCCGAATAGATCTCGACTCGATCCATGTACATATAAGGAGGTACAACGTTATGGTGAAATCTTTACTGTAAGCATACACGGCGGCTGTAACGATGCCTGTTTCCAGGTTTTTGAACACGGTTTTTTAAAAACCGTCACTGGCTGTGTGCTCTTGCAAACTTGCAAATGCAACCTGCACCGACCAGAACCGCCTCCAAGCAAACATAAGTTTTACAATCGACGAGTTACTTGTAACACCTTCACGAAGCT